GGTGTCCATCGTTCGGCATCAACTTTTTCCTTTAATCAACAATTGATCAGTTTTGATATTTGACTGGTATGTTACTAGGATGAAGCCTGACAAAGTTTACGAAAAGGAATGATCTTCACATATATTTAAGGTCACAGGGGTCGGATTTGTTAAAACAGTTCAACAACTTCTTCTCATGAAACTAATAGGCCTAGAGGCATGATATTTGGCCGGTATGTTCCTAGGATTTATCCCCACAAAGTTTGGAAATATAAATGACCTTGACCCTGGTTCATGGTCACAGACTTCAAATTTATTAAAACATTTCCTCATGAACTAAATGGCTGAGAGGCATGATATTTGGCTGACTCAATCCCCATCACAATACAGGTGAGCACTGCAGGCTCATTTGGCCTCTTGTTTTTTTATATTGGCAGTGCTTAATATCACTTCATTTTAGCAACTATCACAAAAAAAAATTAAAATAAAAGAAAATAAGGTAAATAAGGAAAAGAACTATGGATTCACGCCTCAATGGTTATATGTGTCACACCATGTTAACATTGTCACTACCCACAGGTCAACTTTCCACACTTTGCAGACTCCTAAACAATACATCAACCCTGTTACTGGTACTTGTAATGAGGTCTAGCTAGGGCAAGGGATAGCTGGTGCTTTTATACATGGCCTGTTCAATCCAAGCATTAAAATTGGTTTGATACCCTCTGTCACTTGTAACTTCTGATGATTGCTAGGTGTGATCGGATGCCATAAACGAGTCTCTAATGTATATTTTGGGATCAGTTTTACAACAAGGAATCTTTTTTTAAAAGATGTGATCAGAAAATAATTAAACTTAAGTTGAATTTTTCATAATTTACAATAAAATGTGTTTTAACAATGATCCATCAGACACAAAACCACTTAAATTCATGACAGATATGGAGGCTGCATAGTAATCGATGACTGAAAGTCCCAGCAAAATACCAGCCAATAACACCAAGTGTGAATTTGACCACATGTACTGTAAAGTATTATGTTATCATTCTCAATGATTTATTATAGCTGGCTACATACTCCAAGAAATAAACAAAGATTAAGAAAAATCACTATGCTTCAGGGGAAAAAACACAGCAAATTACAATTACTGTCTTCCAACAACTTGTGTAAGAAACTAGCCTATTTGATGCATCAGAACTTTCAGTTTTAGACATCCGGAAAAAAAATTTTCAACTGTTAATATCACATTCCAGTTATTGTCACATTTTCTCTTGAAAAAAGATATTAAGTGGTTTTTAATGTAAACCAAAAGTTTTTTTACAAGCTTAATGAAAATGGCTGATATATAATCTAAAATATTGACATTTTGACTCCATGCCTCATTCTGTTGTAACCATAGAACTATGTGTGGGACACCTTGAAATTGTTACATCACATCATTAAAAGTAACTTTGGATGTATACAACCACAGCTCCCAATCCTTAATGTGTAATGCTACGACTTATGTAACGGTTGCAATGATATTGATAACAGGGAAGTTTTGTGGTAAAATTTCACATTTTCAGTATAATACATTCATACCATTTTGTTTTCTTAAGTATTACAAATGTGTTTTTAAGAAATTTATTATCAAGAAACTTTATCTGCAAGGAAGTCTTAACCTGGTTCAGGGTGGTCTTTAATGCTGGTAAATGAATTCACACTGAACAGTTTAGACCATTCTTTGCCTACACAATGACAATCCACATGCAACACAGTGATTTTGGGGTCACTGTTGTATCACTTTATTTTAATGATGTGAAAGTGTTTTATACGAGATTTTATAACTTATCATTGTATAGGTGTCTGAAAGGTAGGAAGCCGTAACATCGTAACTTATGGTGCTACACACAAATAATGTTTACACAACTTTGACACAACAAAGCAGTGTTTGATTTCGTTATTGGTGTGTAGGGTTTCCAGTGTTAGGAAACATGGCCTGCTATTAGATCAGTTACCTAGGAAGTCATTAGATGTACTTTAGTGTAAGGCATGTTTAATTGGTACACTGCCTGCAGTATAACATTACATTTGAATCCTGTCAACTTGGGTTAAAACATGTTCCTATTTCACTTGTACATAGATTGAAAATATCTGTAAATAGAACATCTGACATCTGAAGTTCTGTTAGAGTTTAGTAAAATTCTGGTGATTAACCTGTAGAGAAACAATCTTGTTTTCATAATAATTACTATAGCTGTTAAAGTACCATGGTTGAAGGTCAGTGACTGTCAAAAGTTTTTTTCCCATGGTTCTAAGTGTATTTTGGTATGTTTCCCACATCGCTAAGTGCATTTTGGTATGCATTTCTGACCTTTCTGAGTGTATTTTGGTATGCATTTCTGACCTTTCTGAGTGTATTTTTTGGTGTGTTTCCCACATCGCTGGGTGTATTTTGGTATGCATTTCCCACATTTGTACATATATTTAGGTATGTTTGCACCACATTGAGGTAGTGAGATATGCGTTTCCACATTTCTGATTGTATTTAGGAATGTTTTCCCCACTTTTCTCAGTATTCTTGGATATGTGTTAGGTATGTGTCATATACATTATCCTGCAGCTAGTGGAGGGAGCCAACACAATTTCTTACTGTAAAATCCGAGAGTGGCTTTAATGCCTTTTGTTCATAACATTTACTTACGAACATCAATATGATATATAAGTAGGATACTCGCCAGACATGGGCTTATTAGTAGAGAGAAAAAAAAAAATAGAAATCAAGTGACTATATGCTTGAAAAAATTTGAACTTAAGGAATTTGACTTTTCTTTCCAGTTTTGTCTAATCAGTTCTAAAGCTATTGTAACTGTTTTATCAGCCATGTTCTCATGCATGTACCTCTCCACAAAAATGAAAACGTATGTTTTGTCACAACCTGTTCCCATCTTAAAGATGTATTGTTTCTTACTATTTTATATAATTGTTTAAAATTATAGGGCCTTCGAACTTTTGTGTGTATTCATAGGTTTGCTGTGTACATGTTAATATGTTTATACACATGTAATTTGGAGATGTGATGAAGAAAACTTATTAATATTAGAACAATTTGAAAAGCCAGGGGGTGGGGGGACCTATACAACAGCAAAAAATTGTAAACATTAACAGTATGTAGTGGAGAGTTAACGTCTTTTGTCTGAAGTTTTCATGGCGGTACAATTTGTCAATAAAGAATACAATTAAGCCATGATGCTAATTAACTGTTAATTGGAGATGTTGATATGCAGTATTGATTATAAAATTTAATGAAGGAATTGATCAGTCATTTATTGTTCCTATTGTAAAAACCCTGTAAGTAAGGCATTTTCAAAATCACCTTTGTAATATTGTAAAGATTAACCAGTGGTCAGTAAAATTACTGTAGACTGGTTCACACTGAACCAGATTAGTCTCTGCCAGAATATGACTTTATATCGACTCTACAGATTACAGGTCATGTGAAATTGATTTAGTTTTCACAGAAATGAAAGCTACATTTACAAATCATCCCTTTTTTGTCGTACTACAGGCGTTAGGATTTTCTACCTGATCATATCAGACTTAATTGGCCTGGCAGATACGGGCTTGGTGAATGCTTATGCAGCTGGTGCATTTGTCGTTAGATCTCTCTTGACTTTTTCACCCCGTGTGGGATTAAGTGATGGAAGTTGGTAAAGATCTATGTTACTGCAGTAGATTGTGTGATCAATCAGCTGTTTAATAGATTTCCCGTGACAGAGGGCTTACTGATATAGAAACAAAGAGAGATCGCAACATATCACAGTTAGATAGTTTTACACTATCCTGTTGAATAGTGAGAGCAAGGAATCATCAGATTGGCGTTTTGATATGCCACTGTTTGGTGTCATTCTGATATTTTCTGACAGGGACAACTTTACCAGAAGCAGTTGCATTGTGTCAAACTTGTTTTGATTTCCCTAATCTTTCAGGACAGTAGAAATGGTTGTTTCATTAAGGAATTTGTCCATTTCTTTCTGGAGCGATTACGTTACATTCCTGTTGTAATACTGGGAACGAGGTCGTCCACAGTTAACAGAGAGCTATTGTTTCATGAAAGTTCTGTCGTAAGTCAAAGCTTGTCCCTCTGTGATAAGTTGACAGAGGAATTTTGTGTCATCACAGTTACAATTCTGGAATCACTTCACTACCAGCAAGTAGTTATCTGTTTCTTCTCACAATAAGGTGAAATATTAAGGAAAAACCTGTGTTATGATTTGATAAGCAGAGCATGCCCAATACAACAAAGTTAAGAAACTAATGTTTAGACTTCTGCTTGTTAATTGGTTTTTTTTCTTCTTTTTGAAACAAGACCTTAGATAAGTTTAAGAGGCGTTAATACGAATGGATTCGTTAGAAATTAGATCTTAATTGTCCTGAAAGTGAGTTTTCAAAAAATATAGACCTGTGTCAGTTTTCACTTGTATAGGAGTTTCAATCTTACACATACAATTATGTGCAATGAACTGTCAGCTCGATGGCATAAAAAAAACTATGAGTTAAGAGATAGACATGTCTCAATTAAATGATCCTGGTACAGGCTGACAGGACGGGGGAATCTTTTATGTCATAAGGAAACAGGATATGGGTTTTATTTAGACACGGATGTATTGAGATATGGACTGATAGAGTAGATCAGTGGAAATCAGTATCAGACTTGACACTGATCTACAGAGATCTCAGAATATAATTATGGCAATATAGTCGGTTCAAATTACACCCCGTCTTCCTGTTGGTAAAATACATGCCTTAGAAATGCATCCATTGAAATAAACTTAGAAATATTTGTATTTTTCAATTCATTGCACGGTGTATGTTTAAGCACTGTTTAAGAATGGATGAAGAAATATTTGTGTTTTTTAATTCATTGCACAGTGTATGTTTAAGCACTGTTTAAGAATGGATGAAGAAATATTTGTGTTTTTTAATTCATTGCACTGTGTATGTTTAAGCACTGTTTAAAAATGGAAGAATTGTATTTTCAGAAGCGAGGAATCTGATGGAGGGCACAGCTGATACAGGGCCACGTCATACGCTGCATCTTGATCATGAACCCATCGAGCAGCGAACATATGAACTCCTCCTACCACCAGATGGCGCCAACAGCAAACAACCAAAAGTGCGTAAGGTGGCAGCAGGTCCAGCCTTGCCCTCCTACAAAGGTAAGCATGTGGTAACACCAAGGACACTTCACTAAACTGTGATGGATAAGAGATCTGTCAATCAATTTATCTGTACATATTTACGATGGTTGTTTTACTCCATGGACATTTTTAAAGGATATCGAAAGCAAATACATTTTGGCAAGTTTTTAAGCCTAGTGGCTTACAACAGAAGAGTGTTTTTCGAAGCCTTAAAGGTCAAGGCCTTGTAGCTCAACAGTTGTTAAGAAATTTTCTGTGAAATTAAAAATAAAGAATTTGAACAGTTACTTGCTTTAGGATATAATGGTTATTGTACTGGAACGTTTACTGGCACCTGAGGTTGGTAATTAATATCATTATCTAGCAAAACTCCAAGGCAGAAGAATGAATGTTGATGGTTGTACTGGAAATGAATTGAACAGCTTCTGTGTGTGTTTTTAAATGTTATCAAAAGGGTAATTTCAAGCCTCATTAGGACCTGACTATACTAAAGATGTTAGTAGTTTGATAAGTCTGTATACCTGGTCTAACACTAACACATCTAGTAGTTGTCATATATAGGTAGATCTGAACTAAGAGACCAGTCTAAACAGTACAGCCTGAAAATTTGAATATTAAAGTCCATACAGGTTACATGTTTCTTAAAGTAAAATCTACCCTATAGGGTACATCATACAGATTAGTCTCATACAGGTGATATCAGTCACATACAGGCGATATCAGTCACATACAGGTGATATCAGTCACATACAGGTGATGTCAGTCACATACAGGTGATATCAGTCACATACAGGTGATATCAGTCACATACAGGCGATATCAGTCACATACAGGTGATATCCTACATACAGGTGATATCCTACATACAGGTGATATCAGTCACATACAGGCGATATCAGTCACATACAGGTGATATCAGTCACATACAGGTGATGTCAGTCACATACAGGTGATATCAGTCACATACAGGTGATATCAGTCACATACAGGCGATATCAGTCACATACAGGTGATATCCTACATACAGGTGATATCCTACATACAGGTGATATCAGTCACATACAGGTGATATCAGTCACATACAGGCGATATCAGTCACATACAGGTGATATCCTACATACAGGTGATATCCTACATACAGGTGATATCAGTCACATACAGGTGATGTCAGTCACATACAGGTGATATCAGTCACATACAGGTGATATCAGTCACATACAGGTGATATCCTACATACAGGTGATATCCTACATACAGGTGATATCAGTCACATACAGGTGATATCCTACATACAGGTGATATCAGTCACATACAGGTGATATCCTACATACAGGTGATATCAGTCACATACAGGTGATATCAGTCACATACAGGTGATATCCTACATACAGGTGATATCCTACATACAGGTGATATCAGTCACATACAGGTGATATCCTACATACAGGTGATATCCTACATACAGGTGATATCAGTCACATACAGGTGATATCCTACATACAGGTGATATCAGTCACATACAGGTGATATCCTACATACAGGTGATATCAGTCACATACAGGTGATATCCTACATACAGGTGATATCAGTCACATACAGGTGATATCAGTCACATACAGGTGATATCCTACATACAGGTGATATCCTACATACAGGTGATATCAGTCACATACAGGTGATATCCTACATACAGGTGATATCAGTCACATACAGGTGATATCCTACATACAGGTGATATCAGTCACATACAGGTGATATCCTACATACAGGTGATATCAGTCTCATACAGGTGATATCAGGAATATACAGGTGAGGTGATATCAGTCTCATACAGGTGATATCAGTCACATACAGGTGATATCAGTCACATACATAGAGAGGGAAGTCACTCATACAAGTAATTCTCATACATAGAGAGGGAAGTCAACCATTCAGGTAATTCACATACATAGAGAGAAAAGTCACTCATACAAGTAATTCCCATATATAGAGAGGGAAGTCACTCATACAGGTAATTCCCATACATAGAGAGGGAAGTCACTCATACAGGTAATTCCCATACATAGAGAGGGAAGTCACTCATACAGGTAATTCCCATATATAGAGAGGGAAGTCACTCATACAGGTAATTCCCATATATAGAGAGAAAAGTCAATCATACAGGTAATTCTCATACATAGAGAGAAAAGTCAATCATACAGGTAATTCTCATACATAGAGAGGGAAGTCACTCATACAAGTAATTCCCATATATAGAGAGGGAAGTCACTCATACAGGTAATTCCCATATATAGAGACAGAACTGGTTACAATTATTTTCTCTCATTAGGTAAGTGTATTTGATACAGCTTTATTGAATTATAGCCAAATCTTTCACTGCTGAAATCAGGAATTCTGTTGTATTTTTGCCAAATTGAGTAGGAATTGTCACCATGTCGTAGAAATATTAAATGGATATAATCATAGTTTCATTACTTTAAATGAATTTTGTTTAGTTGTGCTCCACCCTGATCAGGTTGCATTGATCAAGCATGTTCTTGTCTCAATACGCTCAGTGTGGCTAGATACCAGTCAGGGGCGTTACATACCTAGGCAGTCTTTGTTTATTCAGTAAATGAACCAGGTTCTCTCCCCCCTCCTGTCACCGGCACGATTTTCTCTTTATAGAGGTTTTTATGTCCCTCTCAGTTTCAAGGTGGAATTTGTTACAATTAACTAAGAAGAAATATACCATTAAAGATACAGTAGTACCTATCAGATGTAGACATAATACAAATGATTAGGTATGAGAGCAGGCAGCAGACAAGCTTTACTTAATGGTGACAGTAAACTGATTGTAGGTTGTCATTTACAATACTAAATGGTATCTATTAGTATCACATCTGTGACTTGTTTTACCTAAATATAACATCACTTACCAGTCTGTTGTTCTATATCAGTGTTATACATGTGACTAACTCCAGTTTTACCAGTATATATATTTTTTTATCTGTGTTGCAGGTTTTAGCGAGACAGAAGTCAGGTATAAACATACAGAGCCTAAGCCAGTGAAAACTCACGACATTCGCAAAAAGGAGAGGCGCAAGAAAACTAGCTTTAAACTGCAGGAAAAGAAACCAGACTTTTTCGGTAAATTAGTCAAGACATCAATATCTTTTTTATATCAATATTTTTATATTACCACAATGTGTTCTTGGTAATGCTACTTTTTTTAAAATAAATTCTTGTGAAACATGATAACGATCTGATCAAATTACGGATCTTTACAGGTCAGTGCTAAATGACAGTTTGCATTTACGTTTTTTTTTTTACATTACGTCTTTTGTCTAATACGCCTTATATGGAATCTGTTATAAAATTGGCAAAGAATATTAATTGGTGCTTACTCTCTCAGTTCTGGTCTTTTGTTTTACTGTTTGACAGTCAATTTTCCTACAAGCTAATTGATCAAAACACCTCTCATAGGTCTATATGTACCGCGATGTTACATGGAAACAGGCAGAATCTGTACACAAAGTGAATATAATTGTCCGAAATATTTGACCAATCTGAAGCAAGGATTTTCATCATATGATAAAACAATTACGATCGAGGAAAGTGACCTTCCTGGGTTAATCAATCGTTGTATTCACCTTAAAACAGGTCAGTAATTGTATGTTAGGTACCTGAATTACACAGATTGCTGGATGTACCATGTTCTCAGTGTATAATTTTCATTATTCAGATGATGACAGAGATGACAAAGTACCTGACAAACCAAAGAAGATGACTAGAGTAATTGCTTCTAGCTCAAGGAAACCTGGCAAACAAGAGGCACAGAAAAAAGGTAAAAAGCAAAGTTCTACTCCATCATGACGACTGCACCAATTTCAGCCAAATTTGGTCTTAAATATCTTTGGGAGATGGCAATCAGTTACTGAATAAATGAGATTGGTTTGATCCCTGGAGACAAGAAGCAAGGTTCCATAGTGGAAGTTAGCTAAAAGTTTACCTTAAAATGCTACTTTTCCTAAAGGCCAAGTGGATTTCAACCAAATTTGCATAAGATCACTGGGGAAGACAAGCATTTATTAAAAAAGCTGAAGTTGTTCAACTCTTTTAGACATGGAATGGCATCCCATAAGACGATATTAGCTAAAATTTTATCTTAAAACACAACTTGCTAAATTTGGTCTTCAATATCTTTTGGAGATGGCTATCAGTTCTTAAATATATGAGGTTGATTCAACCCCTGGGAACAAGGGATAAAAGCCCTTGAGGGCAAATAAGCCGGGGGTTTGTATCTGAAGCATCCTCATGAACTAACTGCTTTAGTGAAGGCTCCCATAGGTATAATTTGTCGCATGGTTAGGTGTTAGAGGCCAACAGACAGGTTGTAGACTGCACCACTTTTACTGTTCAGTATGAGGTCAACAATGCTTCCTGTGTTGTCACTGTGCTTGCTGCCATTGGAGGACTATTAACACAGTTGGTAAAAATCACCATAATGTTCCCTCATGTGCTTCATTTTGTACTCTTTGTCAGTTTGTTTATCCAGTATAGCCTTTATGTAATCACATCAAATCTTCTATTACCCAGACCAGTCGTGATGTTTTTACATATCTTTAGTGATCAGCGCCATGGTTGTTTGTCGTTCATGCAGATGAACATGTTTTTACACTGTGGCCAGACAACAATGTTGACCATTTATTATTTAGAAGTCACCCCCACAAATATTGGTATCAATGTGCGCATTGTGAGATCTGTCTGGTAGAATATCACCAGACTTACCTGGTGAGGCCTGTCAGAGCTGGTCAGATAAAGATATGCAAGCTTACATGTTCCTTCCTTGTTTTTGGTCAAAAACAACAAAGATAAGTGTGAAGTGTTGTTTGTTGGAGAAGAATTGGTTGTTTACTGTATATGGGTAGTCTTCATACTGTTTCTTACTCTCCTTGGTATCATACATGCTCCTCTGCCCTATTAGTACATAGTTGTCCATTTACATTTTGTTCATATGGCTGATAAATAAATCATCAAATTATTTATTTGGTGAATACAAAATTTTGTTACTCTGTTGCAGATAATGAACTTTTCGTGTGAGATCAGCAGTTTTCATTTATCTTCAGTTGTCCTGATTTTGATATAGACGTCTTCTCTATTTAATGACTGTAACTGGATATTTGTGCATGTTTGCATGTGGTGTTCAATTACGTTCATTCTTTACAGAATAGACACCTACACACATGTTAAACTGCTGTCTATTTACACACATCAATGAGCTCCTAACAAAGTTAAAGTTGATCTCTTCATCTAATATTGCAATAAGCTTTCATGTTATGATATGTAAACAATTTTTTTTTATGTTCAGAAAAAGAACGTTTGGCAGATTAATTATATTTGTATAAAGAAAACTACCCCCTGAAAGTTTACCGAATGGTTTGTGTAGAGCCGGTGAAAGGTACCGACACGTTTCATCAGGTTCACTAGTATTCTAAATGTTTAATATTTTATGTCATTAATGCTCTGTTCCATACCAAGATTATGTGATTTTCAGAGTTTATGTGTGGTTTGTGCATATGGAAATATGGTTCCTTGAATTTTCTTCTCCTTATCGTCATTGGAAACCAACAATTACTCCTTGATTTCAGCCAAGTAAAGATTTTATGTACTTAATCTATGTTATTGATAACTGCCTGATCATTGAAGTAATTAACTCATGCTGGGAGAGTGTTACATACAAGAATTAAATCTGACATGCAAATTCTACTAAATAAAGGAGTTAAAGGCCTGTGTTGAGTTTATATCACCTTGTCTGAAGCTTGCATACATCATCTATGATTGCTTATGTTTGAGTGTCCCTTACTGAAATATGACCTCATAGTTGCCTCAACTTCATGCCAAATTTTGTATGGAAGTTCTATTTGGGGTGGCAAATTGACAGATGTTCTAAAATTGACCATCAGCCCTTATTGCGCAACAACGCAGCAACCCTTAGTTGACCTTGTGTTATGTTTTACAGAACAAACCTCTATCACATATAATAGCCTAAATGCTAGTGTAGGTCAACTCCTTGTATTAAGTTGTCATATCATAGTCTTATATTGTATTGTAGCATGGAAGGCTACATCTTCTTACATTATCATAATATATTAGTGTCCTATGGTTGTTGTTCAGGTATTTCCTCAGCTTTACTGTCTCATCTTGTTGTGTTTTTTATCCTCACCAGAAATCATCACAACGTCGTCCTGGAGGGCTGGTCAAGAATTGGTATTGCGAGAACTGGGACCAGTGAAAGTGAGACGAACGTCACAGACCTCTCAAACAAGTAAGTTTCTCTTTTAACTTAGCCACAGAAATAACAGCTTTGATTGAAAGGCATGTACTTTTAAGTCTATGATACCAGCTATTGGTGTTTTCACTTAGTAGGACCTGCTCTGATTTAATTACACCTCTGTTGTAGCCATTGTGTGTCATCTGTCCTCATATTTCATTCGTTTCAAAGATGATGAAAGATTTCATGCATTTAAAACCTAATAGACATTACTATTGTAAGGTACTATTGAAGGAAAATACCCAAATTGATTCTTTTGTGCATGCTGACCTTCCAATTGCACTGTAAATAAACGGTGAAGTCTGATGTCACAGCTGTTTGTTCCTTACTTAGGTATTAATCTCTCTCACTACTCACCTATTGGAATCTATTGACTGGGATTAAAGGCCAGTGTATAGATCTTCTATGACAGTAATTGTATAATCATAGCTTTTTTAAGAATTTCGCCAGCTTATGTTTGTTCATCACAGTTGCTTTTGTTATAAATTTCTAAGATGTTATATCTTTGAAGCTTGGGAGGAAAATGTTCTGGAGATAATGAAAAGTTTGGAAAACATATTGTTCAGAGTTTGCTAATATCTTCATGATCATAACCTAAATTTTTTTTTTTTTTTTTTTTTTTGGTCACAATTTCCTGATCAGTAGATTATTGGAAAATGGCTTGTGCACTTTTAAAGTTTTGAAATGTTCTGACTTTGTGAATTTTAATGAAAACTGACTTGTAGTTTTCATGACCTTTGTGGATTTATTCGTCCATGAATTCTTTTCCAAGATCTATGCCCAGTACTTTGTATGACCAGGTTTTAGTTATATATGGTCAGGTTTCATTGGGCAAAATATAAAAATAATTGTGAAGTAATATATATATAATGTTATGATTTGTTCTTTTGAACCGATCATACCAATTAGAGATCAGCTGAGAATGGAACTTTTTTTACAGAGTGTTTCAACATTGATTGTTCGTTTATTGCTATTGTGATTAACAGATGCTTGGAATTAGATCAGGGGTCACCTGACCAAATGTCAAGAAAATGTTATTTGTAATGTAGCATAAGAATGCTCTGTTGTTTTGGTATCAGAAAGTGACTGAAACAGTAGGCCGTTCAATAATGGTAGATTTAGATTTAAGACAGGTGAACGGAATGGTTTTGTTATTCTTAGCATTACAATATAGTTTAGCCTCAATCAATATTTTGATGCAAGATTCAGGACTTTTGAACAATGCTTGTGATTTTAGATAAGTAATTTCTAAAAATAATTTTAGTTGGCAATATATGATAAATATTGTTTTTGAGTTTTCCAGAAAAGGTTATTAAAATTTAGATGACATCTTATTGACCCTGAGTGTAAATAGTGGAGTTTTTGCCACTACATTTTAGTAGATACACGAAGAGATAAGAAAATCAAAGTTTTATGGGAGATATTTTTGTCTCAAAAATATATTGCTATTATTTTAACAACAAATGTAAACAAGATTTTTACACTTCAACTCTAATATTACTGCATTTTTTGTTAATCAGGTGACCCACCAGATCAAGCTGCACATGCAGCAGAAATCGCAGATGAACGAGATGCTGATTTCCACATGCAAGACTTTGAAGCAAACAAGGACCATGCCTCTACCACTGCAGCTGAACTTGAAAGAGCACGTGTCCTGTCCGAGGAGGCCCGAAGAGTTCTCAGTGACCTCAACTATGGTATGTGTTAAGTATCTCTTCACTGTTTTCATTGTGCTTTCTGAATTTTACACTATTTATCATTGGTTTTTAATTTTACACTATTTATCATTGGTTTTAATTTTACACTGTCTATTTATCATTGGTTTTAATTTTACACTGTCTATTTATCATTGGTTTTAATTTTACACTGTCTATTTATCATTGGTTTTTAATTTTACACTGTCTATTTATCATTAGTTTTAATTTTACACTGTCTATTTATCATTGGTTTTTAAATTTACACAGTCTATTTATCATTGGTTTTAATTTTACACTGTCTATTTATCATTGGTTTTTAAATTTACACAGTCTATTTATCATTGGTTTTTAATTTTACACTGTCTATTTATCATTGGTTTTAATTTTACACTGTCTATTTATCATTGGTTTTTAATTTTACACTGTCTATTTATCATTGTTTTTTAATTTTGCATTGTCTATTTATCATTGGTTTTTAAATTTACACTGTCTATTTATCATTGGTTTTTAAATTTACACAGTCTATTTATCATTGGTTTTTAAATTTACACTGTCTATTTATCATTGGTTTTTAATTTTACACTGTCTATTTATCATTGGTTTTTAAATTTACACTGTCTATTTATCATTGGTTTTTAAATTTACACTGTCTATTTATCATTGGTTTTTAATTTTACACTGTCTATTTATCATTGGTTTTTAAATTTACACTGTCTATTTATCATTGGTTTTTAATTTTACACTGTCTATTTATCATTGGTTTTAATTTTACACTGTCTATTTATCATTGGTTTTTAAATTTACACTGTCTATTTATCATTGTTTTTTAAATTTACACTGTCTATTTATCATTGGTTTTAATTTTACACAGTCTATTTATCATTGGTTTTAAGAACATGTTCCTGCTAAATGCTGTCCCTGATATTCTTTCTCTCTGATCTACTACTACAGGTTCAGATGAAGATGATGGTAAGGGGAAGCAAGGTGACGGTGGAAAACATCGACCTCGCAAGTCAGCAACAAAAAGAAAGGCCCCTAAATCAACTGGTAGGTTAATTACATGTAGTTTTTTACCTATTTAAACTTCTCTGCAATATGATCCCTACATTTCGATAAAGAAAATAATTGACATTTCAATAATTCAGAAGTTTGGTGCTTCAAGGACATGGTTGACAGCTAGTCAGTAAGTTAATTGCAGAATGATGAGCCCCAGCGGGATAGTGTTCATCTGACTGCTAACATATCACAGGTTTTGTCCAGCAGGGGAAAAAATAACAATGTCATCCAAATTTGCTTCCTCCAATAAACCTAGATACTGTGCATTACAGGCATATTGTCACAGTGCTGACAGTCAGGGTTGTGTGGGGATGGTTGGTAGATGACAGAGTGCTGACAGTCAGGGTTGTGTGGGGATGGTTGGTAGATGACAGAGTGCTGACAGTCAGGGTAGTGTTGGGATGGTTTGTAGATGACAGATTGTCACTGTGCTGACAGTCAGGGTTGTGTGGGGATGGTTGGTAGATGACAGATTGTCACTGTGCTGACAGTCAGGGTAGTGTTGGGATGGTTTGTAGATGACAGATTGTCACTGTGCTGACAGTCAGGGTTGTGTGGGGATGGTTAGTAGATAACAGTATGTCACTGTGCTGACAGACAGGGTTATGTTGGGATGGTTGGTAGATGTCAGATTGTCATAGTGCTGATAGAACTGTGGTCGAATGTGATTAGTTGATATCAGAATCATAGTGTTTGCCCAGCAGATTGGATTTAGAATCAACCAATGTATGTTCACATTTATCAGGACATGCTTGTGTCAAAATAGGAAAAATTTATTGAAATGCGTTTGTTTTCACCTGTGGTACTAATTAATTCAGAACCAACCATTAAATCAGCCTGAATGATACATATTGGAAATTTCTGCTTAACAATTTATCATTTGTCATATTATTCTGCATGCCATGTGACAGGTTGACATTAATGTACCTTACCTTGATATTACAGAGTCAAATATGGTAATAAAACTTAGTTATACTAATATTACCCTGAATAATCTATTTACTGCAGATTGCAAAATTGGACTTTGTTCAACTCGTTTCTATGGTTGCATTATTCTAAATACACTACCTAAAGAACTTAATACTTTATATATAAAGAAAGGCTCAGCAATGGTTAGTTTTTAGGCGGAACGTAACAAAGTTTGGATTTCAGTCTATCGTTACAGTCCCTGGACGTAGATGTATAACTACCTATACTGACTTTGTTATTGTTATTGGTTCAAATTTTCCATCAAGTTACCCATGATCTGTCTTTGTCAGTCATGTGCTATGAATAATGCTTTCAAAACAATGTTGTGGATGCATAGAGTGGCAATGAGACAAGCAAGAATTACAATTAAAACTTACCAAAAAGTGACAGGTAAGGTGTTATACTGGCACCAATAAGTGACAGGTGAGGTGTTATACTGGCACCAATAAGTGACAGGTGAGGTGTTATACTGGCACCAAAAAGTGACAGGTTAGGTGTTATACTGGCACCAATAAGTGACAGGTTAGGTGTTATACTGGCACCAAAAAGTGACAGGTTAGGTGTTATACTGGCACCAATAAGTGACAGGTGAGGTGTTATACTGGCACCAATAAGTGACAGGTTAGGTGTTATACTGGCACCAATAAGTGACAGGTGAGGTGTTATACTGGCACCAAAAAGTGACAGGTTAGGTGTTATACTGGCACCAATAAGTGACAGGTTAGGTGTTATACTGGCACCAAAAAGTGACAGGTTAGGTGTTATACTGGCACCAATAAGTGACAGGTTAGGTGTTATACTGGCACCAATAAGTGACAGGTTAGGTGTTATACTGGCACCAATAAGTGACAGGTGAGGTGTTATACTGGCACCAATAAGTGACAGGTTAGGTGTTATACTGGCACCAATAAGTGACAGGTTAGGTGTTATACTGGCACCAATAAGTGACAGGTTAGGTGTTATACTGGCACCAATAAGTGACAGGTTAGGTGTTATACTGGCACCAATAAGTGACAGGTTAGGTGTTATACTGGCACCAAAAAGTGACAGGTTAGGTGTTATACTGGCACCAAAAAGTGACAGGTTAGGTGTTATACTGGCACCAATAAGTGACAGGTTAGGTGTTATACTGGCACCAATAAGTGACAGGTTAGGTGTTATACTGGCACCAAAAAGTGACAGGTTAGGTGTTATACTGGCACCAATAAGTGACAGGTTAGGTGTTATACTGGCACCAAAAAATGACAGGTTAGGTGTTATACTGGCACCAATAAGTGACAGGTTAGGTGTTATACTGGCACCAATAAGTGACAGGTTAGGTGTTATACTGGCACCAATAAGTGACAGGTTAGGTGTTATACTGGCACCAATAAGTGACAGGTTAGGTGTTATACTGGCACCAAAAAGTGACAGGTTAGGTGTTATACTGGCACCAATAAGTGACAGGTTAGGTGTTATACTGGCACCAAAAAATGACAGGTTAGGTGTTATACTGGCACCAATAAGTGACAGGTTAGGTGTTATACTGGCACCAATAAGTGACAGGTTAGGTGTTATACTGGCACCAATAAGTGACAGGTGAGGTGTTATACTGGCACCAATAAGTGACAGGTTAGGTGTTATACTGGCACTTTTCAGACTGAGTTTGGGTCAATCACAAACTAGCATTCTTCTGGTTTGCAGTTAAGTCTCTAAAACAGGACAATATGGCGGAACACAGAGGATTATGGGATTACTGACATCTTTTCTTAATAGTCTATCAAAACAATGAGACCCAGTGACAATCAGCGACAGTTAGAGTCGTAAAGACTTAAAAATTGTCATGTTTTAATGTTGATATTTGTAAAAATGAGTAATGGGGATTCAAATTTTCCCTGATTGCTGGCAGATTCATATACATTGTGTAACACACTTGAGGGCAGCATCTTCAAACTATATCTTAAGATAATAAAATTAGAGGCATCTAAACTTATATACTATGCATTAATACATTAAGATCAACAGCTTGGCACATATGTATCTGTTTTACACAAATAGCACAGGTAATCGTGATATGTCATCAGACAGAAGTACAGGTGTGAATTGTGTATCACACTGGAGAGCAGAGGAGCAACATCATTTTGTTGTTTGTAGTTGTTTCTATTGCAAGAAAGAATTGATCTTGGAATAGTTTCGTGACTTTTTTCAGAGACATATAAACACAAACATCTATTGCACATGTGCCAGCTATCACAATCCAAGGCCCCAACTCAGTATTGATAGCAATCAGTATTGGGAGCACAGGATGATGACATGTATAGATTGGCAAAAGTAACCGTGTTACATAACACATCTTGATAAGATAATCAATGCTATCATTATTCATCATGACAAGTAGGTAAGTTATTGGAAGACTCAAAGATATGCTTCATAAACACCAATGAGACAGAATAAGCTATGTCATTGCTAAACTCTGCCAATATGCAAGCAAGCCTGCGTCCATGGCTTCTTCGTTACAATATCCAACATGGAGGAGAATGAAATTAAACTGTCATATTTTTTCAGTTCTCCACATAGGCCACTGTCTTTACAGATCGGTAGTGTTCTAACACTTCGTCCTGATTTTAGATGATGTCAGTTAGGATAGTTTGCATTTACATTTACAATAACAACTTCTGTTATAATTGTTGCTTATAAATAAATTGTTGAATCTCCTGACAATCCATTATGGCCACTTCACAGAACATTTTCTATCTTTACACAAAAAAAAAAACAAAAAAAAATGGGAAGAGGGTTTGGGATCCTACAGGTATATGATGTGTTTGGGATCCTACAGCTATGTGATGTGCACTCTCCCCACTTTGGACCTGTAATTTTTCAAGACAAACATCAGCTTTACACAGATTATTGCAGTAAATAAATAAATCCTTTATGATCTGCTCTAAAATTGTAATGTTGTTGTGGATTCAGTATTTTATACCAATGCCAGTAGTAACCCCTTGATTTAAAACTTTAAATTGTTTCCATGTATTTCACTGTTTGCTCAAATTTCACTGATTGGATGGAAAATTGTATTTAAAATTTCCAATTTGGCTGTTAATAGTTAGCTTCTATCAAAGTGTTTGATTTTTTTGTCTTGTGATGAAATATTTCTCAGATCTGAAGATACAGAGGTATATATTATCAACATGTTTGGCCTTTAAGTATTTTCAGTATTATGATGGAATTGTGATTCCATTCATTGTTGTATGAACAAAAGTAGAAATAAAAATATGAGAGAAATTTATCATCTTCTTTTCCATCCATTTATCATTGCCATAAAGCAATATAGAATCGTGTCTTATTCCTGGACCCTTAGTATGAAAAAGCAATAATTCTCTTCTAATTGTCAGACTCGGCATGAAACGCAACTGGATTCTGACTGCATCAGCATAGTCTTAGTGTTAAACAAAGATCGATTCTCTTCATCCAGGTTATTGGACCCTCAGCCAAATAATTTCTTCTTCAGGCACATTTCAACACCAGTTGTCGTTAGTGCTGTCAATAATTGTGAACCGACACTTTTCAGATTATATTTGTCCAGCAGGTCAAATTCTCATTTACCAATTTAGAACAAGTTATAGATTATACACATATAGTCTTACTACAATCAGCTGGTAGAGAGCCTCTATCTCTAACAGTCTTTGTGTCTACATCCCAGTATCTTACACTATACAACATGTAATCATATATTTGTGGGAAAGATATTTAAGTTAATAATGCTGTATCCAATGCCGGAGATTGAGTGATCCACTGGTCCAGGGCAGACATCAGATCAGTTTATAGCGTTCAGTGGCACACTCAGGGCTCTCAAAGTAATCATAGGTAAATATCAATTCCTCTCACAGACGAATTTTACCATTATGAAAAAATCATAAAGAATCATGGTTTATGTTTAGTCAATGTCTACATTGGAACAACAGAGGTGATGATTGGGTGACATGGCCGTGTGTGATGGTTTGAAGTAGAGGATAAGCGTGTTGCACTCGTATGACCAGTGATGTCCACGAGTCACAGCTCAGATGGATGTATGATAATATTCACGGCTGTACTTGTGATAAGAATTATTTTTCCGCACCCCTTCATTTGTTCTGTTATTGAAATAATGGTATAGTACCCCGAAGTATACACAGGAACTTGTTGTATGTGTTAACTTATTTTTTAGGATTTCCTTGCTGCCAAGTTTTGTTTTGTTGACAAAATTCTGATTACTTTTGAGGAACAATTGTCAGAATAATCAAGGTGTGGGCAGTGTATTGTTCAGTGATAACAGATAGTAGTCACTGAATTTGAACAAATGCCAACAGTCACATCCAAAATCAAGATAGTCACATTGTGTTAGTCATATATCTCAAGTCATACTTATATGTTTATGTTGTCTGATGACTGTTTAAGTCAGTTTTACCTGCGTTAGAAGACAAGATACTATTACACAGGTACTTCTGTGTCAATTGATATTTTACCTCCATCTGTCTGATTTAATTACCCATAATCCACTACCAGACACTTACTAAATCTACATGGATAATGTTACATCATCAGTGATCTCACTGTGCTCTAGTTCAGGTAAAACAATTACTGCTAAGATTAGATTTCGCTTTCTTTAAGTTTGTTAGAACAAGTTAATAAGTAGCTTACGGAATCACAGTAGAAAGAATATAGTAAAAGCACCAGGTGGAGGAACACATTGTAGGTAGGATCAATTAGACTGATAGATGTTTCAGAAAAATCAGAAAAAATAGATGTAGAAAATGCCATAATATTGATGTCTGCTGTCTCCTTAAAAATGGTCGGTATTGTTACAGAGTCGGAGAAACAGCAGCCAATAGCTAAGCATCGCCATTATGATGCCAAGGAAGTGAGGCGTTACATACAGCAGCAGAAACGTGCAAGGTTACGACAGCAACGAGAAGATGAACAAAAACAGAAGGAAGCAGACAAAGTGAAACGCAAACAGCTAGAGGAATTGTACAACAAACAGAAGCAGTCAGCTGTAACCTCAGCTTCACACAGCAAAAAGGTCAAGGATGGAACGGAACATCGTGACGGGAGACAGAGTCGTCACAGAGGAGATGAAACCTTTATTCACCCAGCTAGTTTGGCTGATCTACCGCGACACCATCCTTTCCACGAAAACAGACAGAGAATGATGGTATGTCTATAAAAGGAATAAAGTTTTGTTTAGTCATTTTAAGTAGAGTATTTCACACTTAATGTATCTAAATTTCAATCTTGTTATGATAATGATAACCTATTTTGTTTCTCTATTCACATAATCGTTATTAAAGATTGAACTTAAAAAATTGAAGATTAATCATTGTGTAGAATTATGACCGTGATAAGTAAATTCCCAGGTGATTTTTTTTGTAGAAGTCTGACTGTATTTAGTGAAATTCCAGTAAAGTGATTATTGTACAGAAGTATGATTGTATTTAGTTAAGTCCCAGAAAGATATTTTAGTATAGAAGTTTGTCTGTATTTAGTAAAGTTCTAGAAAGATATTTTAGTATAGAAGTTTGTCTGTATTTAGTAAAGTTCTAGAAAGATATCTTAGTGTAGAAATTTTACTGTATTTTGTAAAGTCCCAGAGAGATATTTTAGTGCAGAAGTTTGACTACATTTAGTCTCAGAAAGATACCTAAGTACAGAAGTTTGTATTTATCAAAGTCTCTGTGATCTTTGTATATAACTTTGACTGTATTTAGCAAAGTCCCAGAAAGTGATCTTTGTATGTAACTTTGACTGTATTTAGTAAAGTCCCAGAAAGGGATCTTTGTATGTAACTTTGACTGTATTTAGTAAAGTCCCAGAAAGTGATCTTTGTATATAACTTTGACTGTATTTAGTAAAGTCCCAGAAAGTGATCTTTGTATGTAACTTTGACTGTATTTAGTAAAGTCCCAGAAAGTGATCTTTGTATGTAACTTTGACTGTATTTAGTAAAGTCCCAGAAAGGGATCTTTGTATGTAACTTTGACTGTATTTAGTAAAGTCCCAGAAAGTGATCTTTGTATATAACTTTGACTGTATTTAGCAAAGTCCCAGAAAGTGATCTTTGTATGTAACTTTGACTGTATTTAGTAAAGTCCCAGAAAGTGATCTTTGTATGTAACTTTGACTGTATTTAGTAAAGTCCCAGAAAGTGATCTTTGTATATAACTTTGACTGTATTTAGTAAAGTCCCAGAAAGTGATCTTTGTATATAACTTTGACTGTATTTAGTAAAGTCTGATCTTTGTATGTAACTTTGACTGTATTTAGTAAAGTCCCAGAAAGTGATCTTTGTATGTAACTTTGACTGTATTTAGTAAAGTCCCAGAAAGTGATCTTTGTATATAACTTTGACTGTATTTAGTAAAGTCCCAGAAAGTGATCTTTGTATATAACTTTGACTGTATTTAGTAAAGTCCCAGAAAGTGATCTTTGTATGTAACTTTGACTGTATTTAGTAAAGTCCCAGAAAGTGATCTTTGTATGTAACTTTGACTATATTTAGTAAAGTCCCAGAAAGTGATCTATGTATGTAACTTTGACTGTATTTAGTAAAGTCCCAGAAAGGGATCTTTGTATATCAGTTTGACTGTATTTAGTAAAGTCCATTGCTTGTTGTGATCAGGTGAGCAGTGAATCGGAGAAAGAGAATCGAGGAGTTCGTCACACAGATGAGGAGATGAGTGATGATAGCTCAACAATAACAGGGGATTCAATGGAGGAAGAAGAAACCACAGAAACTGCCACTCCAAGGTATGTAGTCCAGATGTTGTGGTCACCCATTTATCATGTCCTAAAATACAGCAGAGCAAGCCCTACTTTGTACAGAAGATGTAGTTTTAATACTTGTTTTTTACCAATAAAAAATTACCAAGAATTTGCATGTGCTTGGATTTTCAAATAGGATAAGAAATTGATGATCTTAAAGTGTTTCATGTGAGTGACGACACATATAAACGTGTTCACTGTGTGATTTGGACCTGATCCAGGGATTATTGTAAATATCCTATATCTGATTACAAGGACATGTCCTCAGATCTGGGTTTATACACCTAATCCAGTGTGTATTAACAGAAAACCAGGGTCACATCAGTTTTCTATCAGAAATTTGTTCAAATATTTCTCAAAACAGGAACTTTAATTAATGCTTGTATGAATCAGAAAAAGAACACATCTTGTTTTGAAATAAGACATACTTACCCAGTAGTACAGAAATTATGTTGTTTTTTGTCTTTCAGAGTGGAAGCTGAGAAGACGAAAGTGAAATTTGCAGGGAAAATTAAGGACAAGGACAGTGAATTGGTGCCAAATAATTTTTCAGTTGATGGTGAAAACAATATTCGAAATGTTGGTGGATTTACTTTTAATGTTGAGGGAGTAATGAGTAAATTCTCTCAAGCTCTCCATAACAAAGGGGAGCAACTCTCATCGAACTCGGGGTTGGGGGGATCTGTGCCATCAGCGAATGGAGGCTACAATGCAGCGTCGTCTGAAGGTGCTACAGAACTGCCACGGTCTCGTGCTGACAGAATTCAGGCTATAAAAGCCACTGCTGCCACTCTGCAGAGTCGAATTCAGGCAGAAGCTCGAAAAATCACCGGCCATGATGTGGAAGGTAAGGAGATCTGTGTAGAAAAAGCATGCTTTTGTTTGTTTGATCAGTGTAACTGAATAATTTTTGTCAATGCGAAAAATGTTATTCTTCAAATTTTATTTTTTATCAACCATTCTCAGATAATTCAAAGCTTCAAAGACGGAGATGACCGATAAATAAGACCAAGGCAAGCGGTAGTGATTCTTTTTTTTTTTTTTTTCATTTTTAAAATTTTTGCAAAAATTTTTAATCAGAGAGACTTACCAAAAGGTGTTTATTATGTCACCGCCCTTAGGACAATCTCATAAGAAAATGGTCTTGGATGGCAGAACGTTTATTACCTTTTCCCCTTCTGATATGTAGAGTTACTGTCCTTTGTTTTCTCAAATCAGTTTGTTTTGTCCATATCCTAGCACTTATTATAAAAAAAATTGGGTAGGGATACTTCTTCAGGGAGTTTTTTTCCCTCATAATACGTACAGATTTATGACTCTTTCTGCTGAATTTCAATAGAAAAGGTTTTCTGTAGGTATGGGTTAGGACAAGTGATTGCTCTCAATGATTTGCTCTTAAAAATAGAAATAATAGGACCAGTAGATTGTAACAAAACTAACTTTAAATTGTTACTTGAAATAGGTGATTATAGTTAAAACAATATACATCACACTAGATATTCTCATATCATATTTGAGAGTAAAGTAGCTTGTAATAGTACGGCCACATATCACAAAATGCCGCCTGCTGGCATGGTAACCACCAGTTTTCACTCAAATTCGGCTGGTGCCTGTCGTCAGGCAGTATTGTAACTTTAAGAATCCACTGATGTCTAAAAATCAGCAGACGGCAGTTTCACTGACTGTACTATTAGCTTAATAAATGTTCAGTACTGTGTAATTAAAAAGTCTGATACTTCCCAGGGGAAACACTGTAGGTCTAATGGGAAATTTAAGTGTCCAACAGTGTTGTCCTGGGACACAACATTTCCAGGTCATGCACTACAAATCAACTATTGAAATTCAGAAGATTCAAATGACTCAACCAAGATATAATAAAAGTATATAGGACACCTTAATTAGTTTTCCACAGCATATTGCTATCTTGACAGGTATGCAAATAAGCCTGTCAAATTTTTATAGATTAAAAGATGTACAAATCAATTACTCTGTACCTTACTGGTGTAAATGTTTTATCACTTGAAACTCAGGAACACCCACAACCAGTGGTAAACATGTACAATAACTGGTAATACATTAACAGCCACATTCAGTACTGATGGTAAACATGTACAATAACTGGTAATACAGGAACACCCACAACCAGTACTGATGGTAAACATGTACAATAACTGGTAATACAGGAACACCCACAACCAGTACTGATGGTAAACATGTACAATAACTGGTAATACAAGAACACCCACAACCAGTACTGATGGTAAACATGTACAATAACTGGTAATACAGGAACACCCACAACCAGTACTGATGGTAAACATGTACAATAACTGGTAATACAGGGGATACCACAACCAGTACTGATGGTAAACATGTACAATAACTGGTAATACAGGAACACCCACAACCAGTACTGATGGTAAACATGTACAATAACTGGTAATACAGGAACACCCACAACCAGTACTGATGGTAAACATGTACAATAACTGGTAATACAGGAACACCCACAACCAGTACTGATGGTAAACATGTACAATAACTGGTAATAGAGGGGATACCACAACCAGTACTGATGGTAAACATGTACAATAACTGGTAATAGAGGGGATACCACAACCAGTACTGATGGTAAACATGTACAATAACTGGTAATACAGGAACACCCACAACCAGTACTGATGGTAAACATGTACAATAACTGGTAATACAAGAACACCCACAACCAGTACTGATGGTAAACATGTACAATAACTGGTAATACAGGAACACCCTCAACCAGTACTGATGGTAAACATGTACAATAACTGGTAATACAGGGGATACCACAACCAGTACTGATGGTAAACATGTACAATAACTGGTAATACAGGAACACCCACAACCAGTACTGATGGTAAACATGTACAATAACTGGTAATACAGGAACACCCACAACCAGTACTGATGGTAAACATGTACAATAACTGGTAATACAGGGGATACCACAACCAGTACTGATGGTAAACATGTACAATAACTGGTAATACAGGGGATACCACAACCAGTACTGATGGTAAACATGAACAATAACTGGTAATACAGGAACACCCACAACCAGTACTGATGGTAAACATGTACAATAATGTATCTAGACCACACCTAGATTGTATTGATGAATGAAAAATAGGAACGTGCAATAATTTTAGTGCAAGAGATAATCAGTTATCACTGAACAGAGTCAGTTGCATTCACCTCCTATAAGCTCCTACACAAAAAATTACCATAAGCAAATTTTAATTGTAAATCCTAAGAACATTTCTTGATTAAGGACATAAAGTACTCTACTACCATACAGGTGTGCTGAGTGCATGTAAATACTTAATTAGGTGTATTTGTTGTAGAGAGGGATGATATAGATTATACCTGACAGGTAGATTATGTTTTTTCTTCACCCCCCCATACATAGTCTCATTATTGATAAATACAGGAGTTAACTATTTCTATAGACCAATTTTTCCCGGGTACTTATTTCTTCTAATGCCTTGTATTACTTCATACAAATCAAATCTAAAGAAAAATTATGATATTCACAACAGCAAATTCAATTTTCTTTTCATCCTCAATCATTTCGAGTTTAATAAAGAATTTCTTCTATGAAGTAATATCACTGAATTGTAATATTGAATTTACTTTTGTGATAGGTATATAGTATTTATTCGTGCCAAGCTAGTGACACAACAATGAGAGTACCAAAGATAGACCAGTTCTGTATATAGTGCCAGTCGAAACCTTGGCTCCTCATGTTTTCATTATTGTGGCTAATTTCCCTTAGGAATCTATTGCATTTTAGTCTAAAGACCTTGTGAGACTTCATTTGTTGACAATCAAGATTTTATCAGGTGTTTTTTGACATTCAATTATGAGTTGATTTAAGTAAAGAAGACATACCACCAGACGTTCTGTTCAGGTGTACTTGAACCATTCTCTGAGTGCTTGTAATGATAATGACTTCAGCACGAAATTTTAGCACAGCTACCAGGAATTGCTAACTATATAATGTTACCAGGATGTAAGAAATTGCTTAACAAAGAAGAACTGATTTTGTCTGAAAGTGCCAAGAAACCACTATGAATAGAAACATTTATTTTTACATTGTTGAAGAAAATATGCCTTTCTCGCCAAAAAATGAAGGCGTGTCTCCTGAAAAAGAAATCAAAGATAAAATGGTGATAGATGTCATGTGATCAGCATTATTGTGTTTCTTGATACAGTGAAAATTAACATATTAGATATTCTGACTTGGCACATTATACAGTTCTTTTAAAATAATTAAAATCACAAATGGACAGATATAGATCCACTAGCACTCACCTGTGATTGCTGTGAAGTAGGTCAGTGACAGATATTCAAGTCGCTTTGGACGAAATTAAAGTAATCCGTTAATTTACTGAAAAAGAATACCACTTGTTTCAATATAGCTAAGAAAAAGGATTAGAACTGTTGACGAGGAACATTAGACAAAAGGAACTATTTGTGTGGCAATGTTTATTTGATGAGGTTTCGTCCTGAATCAGACAATGGATATGTTGTATTTAATTGACATAGCAGCATGGCAGCTGGTTTTGTTTTTTGAGTATTATTTCTGGTTGTGGTCCTTGTGAAATAAAGTAAATTAACATAACAAACACAGTGATATATCTTGGTAATATAGACTTGTGTTCAGTAGTTAGATTTCATGGACCAAAATGTCTGTTCTGGTCAGCAGTGAATTCAGTCAGGTCCTGATCATATCTTTACAACCATTTACATTGGATCCAAATGAAAATATTTTGATCAAAAGGATTTTTTTTTTCCTGTATTCCAGGAACACAACAGCAGTTAGTTACATTTTTACCTAGAGTTGGGAATTTTAACTACATGGTAACTAGTAAGTTTTGTGTGTAACCAACAGGTGCAGCCAATTCAAATCCAAACTCCCGATGGGCATTACCTCGTGCCGGAGGATCACAGGAAAATGATGAGTTTGTGTCGCGCTATGAAAGGATGATTGGCGCTGATACTAATTACTCAGTGTTCGCCTCAAACCTGCCAGGTACACGCTACCTTAATCATTGATCTTCGATAGAACTGTTTTTAAACTAACATAAAAAGTTTTTGATATTTCATGTAATATGAAGTGATTTTTTTTTTGTGTGTGTATGTGAAAGTTGTAAAGGTAATTTGTCATGGATATTGACAAATAAATCTTATGTTATAGAATTTCTCATTTTTTTTCTCTCTTTTTTTTTTTTTTTTTGAAACTGAATGTCTAGTCAGTTGCACCATTTCTAAGCTGTGAAAAATATCATCTAAGTTTCCTTTATGAATTAACATTGTGTGTTGCAGGTACTCAGCAGGAATCACATGGAGACCCAGAAGGTCTTGATGACAGCAGTATAGAACCAGAGGCTGCTGCCATCAGGATTCAGGCGGCCTACAGAGGCCACACAGTACGGCAGAGCCTTAATTGGAAACTGCCATCAGGTCGTACCATGTTAGCTAGTCACAGAGATGGGCAGGATGATGAGGAGTCATCCATATCAGAGACCTCAACATTTAGTGATATAACAATAACGGAGGATTCCGAAAATTCATTGTCATCACCACCCCGCAAGGTAAAACACTAACAATGTTTAAGTTCATATTCAAGTATCCTGAGTAGGATATGGCATATTGTTCTAATGCCTTATTTCTTTATCACAATACTGATTGGGTAAAATTCTTCAACAGGGTATCAGGGAATAAATGAATTCTGATCCAGAAAGCATACAGACATCAGATTTTGATGAAACACCATAGCTGAATTACACAAAGCTATATATGTAGGCTGACTAGACTACTGGTATAACGGAAACACATGAAGGAGTGTTTATCTAAATCCTGGTAGAGGTGATAATTAGTGTTGCACCACAGTCATGTCACATATCTACTCACTGATTGAAAATCATATTGAAAGAGATTTTTATCAGTAAATTGAAAATTAAATGTTGCTTTTGATGCATGACTTGAGTTGTGATAGAATGACAGGGTTGATATTGGCTTATCTATCAGCAGTTGATCAGAAAACCAAGATCAAATGAAATATCGGGATGACACAAATACGTGGTCTGATGCGTGGCATTTTTCACTGAAAAGTGTAAGCAAAATTTGTTTTGTTCACTCAATCTAATCAAGCAACAAATGTTTAGAACAAATAAAATTCCACTAAAACTGAGCAAGCATCCAACATTTAGAACAACTACAATTTGAGTTGTTATTTTGTTATAACAGATTGGTGCTGGACTACGAGACAAAGACTTCCATGCAGGAGCCAAAAGGTCACGACCTCAGGAGATGAACATTCCACGACCCCAAGGGCAGACAACCAAATACTCCTGGGAGGATCCAACGTCTGATCCGTACTCTGTCCTCAATGTGTTCGCCAGGCAAAAACGCAACCAAGGTATGTTGTAGGCATGTATACAGCATACGCTGATAATACACTCCAAACAGGACATCAACAAGAATCAATAGAGAGAGCACACACCAGCAGCATCCAAACCTATCTCAGAGGATTTCACCATTGGAAGGAACCCTTTAGGATATATCAAATTATGGTGCAATATTTGACAGTATTACTTTAGTTTCATGATGTGATATTTTTTAAAAGTTCAGTGACTCTATGAACGTTCTCATGCCATGCCTTCAAGTACTTTAAGCTCATTAGTTTCATTATCATTTTTCAAGGGTTTCTATCCTCCACAAAAATTTTCAGGGGAGCGTATAGTCGCCACCTTGTCTGTCCATCTGTCTTTCTGTCTGCCCTTTTGTCTCTGGAGCATTATAATGTTGCCCACAGTAAGCAAAGGGTCTTGAAACTATGAGTATACACTGGTCATACTAAAAGAATGTGCAGTTCACCAAATTCAGTGCCTGCAACCCCTTAATTACATAATTATTACTCATTGTTAAAATTTTGTTTCTAATGAAGTTTTTTTTTCGGGGAGCATTTCACTGATACTGTTGTCGAATGAGTGAATATCGCATGTATAAGCAATGTTTCACTGATGGGGTCTTATATAATGTACTATAATATTGTATTTACGTGGGAGAAGTTTACATATGCACTTGATTTTCTTTTGAGATTATCAGATGTATGGCAGTTCAGAAAATTTATAAAATCACATGGTCATTGCACCTTCCCACCTCAGTTTTGACATTTTTTCAGTCAATTTGGTTTTCTTCAGTCCTCTGTAGTGTCTGCTCAGTAACCTGTTTAGTTTTCAATGGATCAGTGTCAAATTTCATAGGATGTTTCACTATAATGATAGCTTGGACAAGAATAAACACTGCAATTTTTGGACCAAAATTTGCAGAGTTATGGCCCTTTATTTAATTACAGAAGCAATGTCTGATTGATATCAAAAGTAATTTTCAACGAATCAACGTTTCCAACAGATGCATTTAAAACTATATAGGAAAGATTATTACCACCATAACTTGGACAAGTTTAATAACCAAAATTAGTCGCCTGTTATTGATTAAGTTGTTGCCTTTGTAAAATTGATGGAACAATAACTGGGAATGTTATCACCATTGGCACTTGATGGTTTACTCTGGTTTTGTCTGTCATTACACAACTGGCACTGTCTATAAAGAACCTTTGATTGGACATTGAAATCAGTTTCTTTCCCTTTCCTTTTGCAAAATGCTCGTTGAACCGACGACAGGGCGTATCATGTACCACCTCACAGAACAATTGTCTAATAATGATTCTCAAATATTCATTTACATGACAATATCAGGTTTTCCTGACTGATCGTTTAAACAACACCATCAACTGTTTTTGTATTTGTAGTAAAACAGCGCCAGGGACCTGTAGGGGAAGAGAGTCGTGTGCCAAAATCTCGAGCTTCTGTTGAGGAGGATGAGGTGAAACGGGAGAAAGTGACATCGCAACAGACTGCTCCTAAACCGGCTGCACGGTCAGGTGGGGACAGTCGAAGTCGCAGTCCAGGGGTGGGATACCACCCAGAGAGCTCTCACCTTGTCAATACAGGACTACGCACATCAAATTTTGCTTCAATCACAGAAAGCTTGAAAAACAAGTATGTGTTTACAATATCCTGGGGGTTTTTTATGCCTTACTATTTCATAGAGAGGTCAGGGAACAAACAACATCTGGTGTAACTTGTGTCTGTCTGTCCCAGTCGCTGTGTCACATTCCAAATCAGCATTATATCACAAGAATCTCTTAATACATTTGGTCCATATTTAACCTCCTTGTTTCATGACATCAAGTTCTACTCCTTATCACATTCTGCTATGCATTCCTGTCCTTGTAGACAATTTCTAATTTGTAGTTAATTAGTTTTTCCTTTCTTAAGAAAAAAAAAAGAAAACTTGCCATAAAAATTAAAAACTAAATTATCTTAAGCAGATAACCAACATTGTGATGATTCTTGTTTCAGACCTGATATTACACAGCCAAAAACAGCATCAGTGAGTTTCCAGATTGGGACTGAGAAAAGTGATGATGACACTTTGGAGGAAGACTCCTACGTTAAGACTGCAGACAGGTGGGTACTAATGGCTACCTACACAAATGTATAACAAGTGCTGTTGTAGCAACACAGGACAAAATGTGGTGAAAATGAAGTTGAAATTTAAGAAATCAAATTAGAAAATGAAGATATTTTACTGTCGTAGAGTCGTCCTCATTTTCTCTCTGTGCCTGATTGACATTGAAATTATTTTTGTTTTGCATGTGTGCAGCGGGGATGATAGAAAACAAAAACCATACAAGTATGAAAAAAGACCAACCAAGCCCCAGCCCAAGTCTTCGTCCATCAAGCCAGTGCGCAAGGAGGCATCGGGCTCAGACGCCGGGCGCAAAGAAGGCTCAGAGAGTGACGTGTCATTAGAAACAGTAAGTTGGAATTGAGTAAAACCAAAACAAAACTAAAATCAAAATTATTTATTATTCATAGGAATTAATTTTATAGAAAATAAAACACTGAAGTACTACGTTTCGAATATATGATAAGGACACAAGAAACATTTCCCATGCATTGAGAATTCATTTATTTTTTTAGGATCGCCCAAGTTACTCCTTACATCGTCCGTCATATGAGGCTTCTGAGGATGCTACAAGTCTGAAGTTTCCAGCACGATACTCTCCAAATACTCTGGAGCGACAATTCCACACAGAGCTTAACCAGCTAGAGAGTATGGAGGAGAGTATGAGACAACTGACCAACATGGAACGTACACGTGCTGTTTCTATGGCTCAGCAGGAGACAGTCTCACTTGCCCAGATGCTTAAGGTATATATAAAGATTATTGATATTTGTACCTCTGCAACTTTTTCTATAATGGTAATTTTGTATTGATTAAGATAATATATTGCACCTTTTATGATTTAACAGAATTGTTTTAAAAAAAAAGTTTCCATAAAATTTCACATCTTATCAGGTCTTGGTGCCAGCAATCTATATATAGAGCCTTGATTGCAGAATTTGGGAGTGTAACAATGTTTTAAGCAGTGTCTTCCAAAACATTCCAGAATTTGTTGATCATGTGATCTAAAGGAGTTTAATTGGGTTTTTGTGTGAGATAATTTTCTTGTTAGCTTTGCAGAAGCGTGATGAGATGAAAATTTCTTTTAACTAATTGATTTGTAATTCTTGTATGAAATGGATATTTGTAGTAAAACCTTTTGTATTTTTAATCACATGATTCGTGTGGCATTCAGGCTCGTCAACAAGAGCACAGTAAGGAAATGAGTGTGTTGGAACTCAAGGCACAGAGGGAGATGCTTGACGCTACAAAGGAGTTGAATGACGTCCGTCAACGATCTATGGAGGTCACACAGACAGCAGCTGAGGCCATAACACGACTGCGTGCTGTACCCACCGACACTAACCAGAATAAACAGAAGACTGGGCGCAAGGTCACAGTAGATACAAGGTCTAGGTCAGAGGTCACAAGCCTACTGGAGACGGACAATATCAGACCACGCAAAAATAGAACGGTAAGTTTTGTACCCCATGATCAAAAGATTATGGGCATATTGTCTCTCTGTCTCTCTCTCTCTCTCTGTCTCTCTGTCTGTCTGTCTCTCTCTCTCTCTCTCTCTCATGTTTGTATGTATGTATCAATGTATGTATGTAACCTTACCCATAACTATTGCACAGTAAGACAAAGGGCTTTCATATTCGGCATGTCTGTTCCTTGGGACAAGACAAGACCTTTCCAGTGGCATCAAAATTTTTTACCATGTGACCTTGACCATGACCTTTGACTTACATTTGAAAAATTCTTACATTGGCCCTAGCTATTGAAATAAAACTGTCAAATCAATACCACAATAAAGACGTGAGTGTTTTCACAAAGTGTGTATGCAATTAGCATATGCCTTACTCAGTACAGTTTTAATGTCCCACTTCAGAATTTGAATCATAAACACATCTTGTTTGTATAGTAAGACTTGTTAAAATCTTTTGCTTTGCTGAACTTGACATATCAGAATGCCTTAACACTAGATGTAGCACTACAAATGTAACAAATTAGAGATTTAATACTTTGACAACAAAACTGTTAAAAGTATAGGTTGTGTTGTTCAGTTGAATTTATAAACATGTTGCAGACAACATCAGCAAAGGATTTGGAGAGAGGTGTACCGGATTCTGCAAGGACAGCCACCTCCTACACTATGGATAGTCGTACAGCCCGGTCCAGGTATGTACTTCAGCGAGTAAAAGTTCCAAATGGCCCTCAAGTTGGTAATTTGGCAGATACATAAGCTATAACATCTTATATCAATAATAAGGAAATACAGTATCTCTGAATTCTAATGTCTAGTATGAACATTTGTGGTCTTTTTGTGGCATTGGATTTTTTTTTATGATAAATTGTAAAAATTTGTACCTTAGAAGGATCTAAATAGCATCAAAACAGGGGGAAATGGACCGACGAATATTTCAAGTCAAACAGATGCTACATATGTTAACTTTATATACCCTAGACTTGATTATCACAGCACAGTAGTCATGTATTGTTAACAGCCAATGTAACACCACAAAACAGGCGACTTTCACAAGTATCTCACCATAAGATTTCATGTCGACTTTTGATTGGGTAAAAGAAGCATCATGTACTTTTTAGTTTCGATACTTCAACCGCAAAAATATCACATCGCTCGATTAGACATTTCATACAGTAATAATCTTTGTGATTTACCTTTTACTAAACAGAGATGCAAAAACACCTGACAGTGTGCGTACAGCCAGTGATAGCCGCAAGAACCTCGACAGTGACTCCTCTATACGCTCTGTCTCAGGGGCAGAAGCACGTGACGAGTCGCGCTCAGATAGCATCATAGAAGATATCTTGCAAGGTTTGTTTTCATGATTGTGGTGTGGACAATAGGAAATAATGTCATCATGTTTTAACTGTAAGTGTAGTGTTAAGAACTTATTCGTGTTTTTTCTTTGTTCTCTAAGATAAAATAATAAAAATGTTTTGATGTAGTATGAAACACAGTAGAAATGTACCTTCCCTATAAAACAGTGCTAACTATTATCTTTGTGATGGTCTCAGGAGATGAATATTCTGTTACGTTTGACGACACGATGACGGAGGATGAGATGGAGGAGAAATCTTTCAAGGCAATCCTGCCATCAGAAAGTCATCGGAAACGTGCTAAGAAACACTCCGGAGACAACATGTCTGTGACATCAGATGAAGGCAGTGTCTCGTCAGGTAGGTACACAGTTAACTCCCTTGGTCGTCCTTCCTGTCACATCAGACCACCCATTGTTTTTGAGGTTGGTAGAAAAATGTAAAACAAGCACAACAAATTTGATTCACGTACCTGACTATTGTTTGTTGAATATGATGATATTGTCTTCAAATATTTACACTAGGAACAGTACACAAATCTCTACATAACATAGTATTGGCGGTAGGTCTGGTAAGCATATTTTATCAGTACAATTCTTGTTTGTAGTGCCAACCACACCCAGGATGTCCCTTGATGACCTCAGCTCATTTTTTACTGGTGAGGAGTCCTTCAACAAATTTACAGAGGAGATGGTTCGACAGTTTATGAGGGAGGAAGAATTGAGGGCACAACACCAGGTACAGCCATTTCAATAGATAGAAGTATCAAATACGTGTTAATAAAACTTGTTACCTCTTGCCTGAAGTTTAAAAAACTTGTTACCTCTTGCCTGAAGTTTAAAAAACTTGTTACCTCTTGCCTGAAGTTTAAAAAACTTGTTACCTCTTGCCTGAAGTTTAAAAAACTTGTTACCTCTTGCCTGAAGTTGAAGAAACTTGTTACCTCTTGCCTGAAGTTTAAGAAACTTGTTACCTCTTGCCTGAAGTTGAAGAAACGTGTTTCCCCTTGCCTAAAGTATAAGAAACTTGTTTTCCATTGCCTGAAGTTAAAGAATCTTGTTTCCCCTTGTCTGAAGTTTAAGAAACTTGTTTCCCCTTGTCTGAAGTTTAAGAAACTTGTGTCCCCTTGCCTGAAGTTTAAGAAACGTGTTTCCCCTTGCCTGAAGTTGAAGACTTTTGTATACTTATCTTCCCAAGTCTACTTGACTGGCAGACAATGGGTCTGTCAATCACCTCTGACTTTTGGCTGAAAATATTTAAAGATTAGCATTTTATGGAGTGCTGCATCATGTCTTGTAGGTTCCAATATTCACTTAAAAACTCCTATAAAAAAAATTGTTGTGCAGTTTTTAGGTCCAACATCACCATACAGCACTATGTTTGTAAAATTTCAGGGTGCATTGTTACGCCTCCGGGAGAAGGCTTTGACTGAGAAGACAAAAGCTGAACTTGCCTGGCTGGACCAGCAACGACAGAATCTTCGCAACAAAGGAGCAGACGACAATTACCCACAGATCATCAAACGGCAACGTGGGCTCAAGATGAGGCTTCAAGAACAGCAGGTGATTTGCCCATTCTCTGTTACTTTTCTTATTGAATTTCCTTCTGTATTTGGAATGGGCAAGATATGACCATAGTTTTATGAGAGAAAATAGTAAAAAATCAGGAGTTATAGAATTTCATTAAATTTAAGATTATTGAAATTTCATAATAAACTTTCAACCATTTAGCTGTTTTCAAAAACTCCTTTTATGGATTTCTAGTGTCTTCTATAAAGATGGTAGTGTACATTGGCTTTCAATACATATATTTATCTGTTTATATTAGTATATTGTTCTGTTAGAATATTTTAGTTCGTAATACTTGACTTGACACATTCTTAATCATGTTGAGTGAACTTGGCAATACTACATTTCGATACAGATGAAAAAATATAGCATTTCAATACTTATTAAAAAGAGTGGTAATTGAAAGGTTATAGTTAAAATGTTTTGTCCAGAAAAGTCTGAGATCAGTGGCACTTTTTAAATAAAATGTTCAGACACTAAAGGAGATTTTGAATTTCTATTACAGGCTGAAATCAAGAGACTCCAGGAATCCAACAAAGCTGCTTCTCTAGAACGGCAGCGACTTTTGAAGCAACACACCGAGATCAGTCGTATGAGAAAAAATACATTGAAGGTAAACATACTGAAGGCATGTTTCCCAACACTTGTGTGCTTTGAAGAGCTCTGTCTCTCAGAATATTTCAGTTTGAATACCTTGATTTAAGTCTGACATTCATTAATAAGATATTTTTTTGTTTGGTTCATTAAAGATTATTTTTTATCACGATTATTGCATCATGCATTTTGTATATTTATGATTTATTTCTCTTTCAGACCAAAGAAAGGTTAAAAGGGAATGGCCGACTTGGACGTCCATCAGAAGTTCACACCGAAGATGAAGTCAGCAATGTAAGTTCCACACCTGTATCCATGGTACTAGAGCTAGACAGTGGTATGAGATCTTGTCCAACATGTTCTTGGTTGAAAGTGTTGATAATCTTGTCAACAGGATCTTCGTCTGTGTTAAAAGTAGTAGTTTAGCGTAATATTGGTGTTACCAGATGTCTGCTGGACAGTGGTCAGTGATCTACTGGACAGTGGTCAGTGATCTCACTAAAAATGTTTATCGGCATTTGTTGACTTGTTTTAGTTTGATGACCAGAGAGATGCTACTAGTGGACGTAAGAAGAAAGATTACAAGTCGGACTCTGAGATATACACAGAACCCAAAGAATCACACAAGAAGTCCATGGATGATTCCTCAGCTCTGGACAAACTCAAGAAAATCCATTTCGATGAGAGGTAAAACAAACTCACACCACATATAAGGCAGATAAAACCCAATTGTTTAACTAAATTGTAGCTTGTTTAAAATTTTAACAGGTTCTTAAAATCCATTGTCAAGCTGGTGTTTATCAAACTTCAACAAAAATGTTATATGAGTAGAAAAAACTCAGCCCTGCACAGTGTAATCTGTGTAAGATTTTCTGTTTTGGTTTTGAAAAAATTTTTTTTTTCATGGCCAACCATCTCTAAAAAGACCAGTTTGCTTATAGAGTTTTGCTTGTCTTGTCAGGTTCTTGACAGCTAGAGAACAAAAGCTGCTTGACCGACGGAAAAAAGCTGAGGAACTATTGAGATGGAAGCAGCGTTTGGACCATGAAGAATCCAGGGTGTTTAAGATGGAGCAAAAAGCTATCAGAATGTGGGAGACACCAGACAACCGTCGACCAGAGAAAATATCTGGCAAAGATGATCGTAGATCAGCCAAGACTCCAGCTAAAACCTCGAAGGATGACCAGGCTGAAAGCAGTAAAGTCCGACAGAGAAATGAAACAAAAGGTGGGATTAGGAATAAAAATAAAGTAGTTTTTGTCTTTCTCTGGTTTTAATAGGTTTGTCAAAGGTGCAAAATTTCTGCCCTATGTACCCGAGTCATTTAGAACTGTTTCATTACTGCTGAGCGGCATTCTAAAGTTTTACTAAAGTAAAACGAATTATTGATTTATAAAGTTAAGTGAGTAAAACAGGCCTTTCAAATCATCTTAGCATTGCTGGCTGGGACAGGGTATCTTTAATGAGTGACGATCCAGCCAATGACTGGAAGCACACATTAACTGTAATATCTCCTATGGATAATACACTATAAAGGAAACTTGATGACATGAACAATTAATTATCTTCTTGATGAAGGCTCGGTTCATAACTTTATTCAACAACTGGAAATAACCTCAATATAATGACAGAAAATTTTTTATGCCATGATGACAAATTCGAGACTGTAATAAGCGTGCTTGGGTCGCTATTGTACTGTTTCCTGAATACGTGAGAAATGCCTCTAGTGTGTTGTCTATTGTGCTACGTACATTACCTAATGAATAACAGTTCAGACGGGGGCCACTGCATTACCAGAAAATATGTGGTCAAACTTTTAGTGTCATTACGACAAAGAAGTGGTTGAAAACATTTAAAAAAAAAAAAAAAATTTAAAGAAACACGCTGAAAATAAACAGTAGGATTGTGTAAATATGAAATGGCATGTCTTGTTAACGTTACCGTCTTTCCGTAATTTCATTTGTATTAAGTTTGTAGTCTTTTCATTTGTATTAAGTTTGTAGACAGTAAATACTGTTGGAGATTTCAGGTACTCTTGTACCAACTAAGATCATGCTCAAACAAGACCTGTAACAAGTTACCTAGGTACCTATGACAGCCCTAATTTTGATAATATATTTGTAAAGGCAGAATATTGACAATTACAGCAGCAGTGAGACAGCCATCTCTTAAATTGATAGTCGCTAGTTTGATTCCCTGGTTTGTAATTGTTTATGTTCCCACTATGTTGACTCATGCCTTATACAAAGTGCTGTAAGTACAAACAAAAAATAAAATTGATGAATTTGTGTTTTTGTAGAATCTCAGACTGCTTCAACCATACAAGAGAGCACCATTGCCTCTGCTAGTGTAATGACTGCTAAAGACGACTCTGTGCGGCGTAGCATAACAGACACTCCTAGGACAGACCTCGCTAGTGGAAGTGAGAGCTCACCAGAGGAGAGACTTCGGGAACGCGATAACAAGGCTATCAACAGTGGCAGTGAAAGTTCTATTGTTGAAGAACTGGCATCAATATCCAGTGTGGATGATGGTAGTCCTGCCACTCCCAGGGTTCGCAAGTAAGTCTCAGACACTTTTCCTGAAAATATTAAATTATACAAGGGAAAAAACCTGGTGCAACACCTTATCGTATATCAAATTTTGAATGATTTATTGTAAAAATGAAATGTGAAATAAAAGCAATGAGAAATGAAATGCAAAGGAATATGCCTGGTGCACCATCTTATAGTATATCAAATTTTAAATAATTTATTGAGAAATGAAAGCAATGAGAAATGCAATGTTTATTGAGCCAAATAACTCACTGTTAACATTTACTGACGATGATATAAATCTTAACTCACAGGTCGCGATCATCCGCAGCGGACGACACAATTATCAATGACAGCCAGTATAACAATGATTCCTTTGAGGAGACAAGTGTTCAGGGCACCAGTAGTAAGAGAAGTGGTAAATCTCCACGCTCTCCCCTTGACCGAATCCCCCAGGGGCTCACATGGTTGTCTGGACGCACAGTTCGTAACGGTAACCGCTCACCTTTCAGTCGTTACCGCAGCTCAGAGAGCGAATCAGAAGAATCCATTTCACACACAGGTGAGTAGTTCATCCAGGACTCGATTGATAAAAAATTATTTTTTTATTAAAACTTCTGTACTAATAAATATCACAAAACTTACAATTAGAAAAGAAATCTCATACTAGAAATTTTATTTACAGAGTCCTACACAGAAACCCAGTCAGACTTCAGTGATTATGAGGGGCGAGTTCGTGCCTTGAATGAAGAACTCAAACGACGCAAAGTGGAGGCAGATAGACTCAGGAAAGAACGCAAGAAGAGGAAAAAAGAAATACTAAAAAACAAAGAAGTAGCTCTGAAGAAACAAATCGAGGTAAAATTGAATTTAACTTTGTGACAAAGATATACATTGAAAGTATATATTGTGGTTAGTTGTTCGGATTACTTCTCTTTCTGAATTCAAAATGTGTTAAGTAGAAATATTTCCATCATAGCACTGATTTTCTGATTGCGATTTTTCAAATTTTAGGCGTACGATAACCAAATAGTCCAACTGAAGGCAGAGTTACAGAAGGAGATGGAACATGAACCAGTTAAATCTAGTGTAAGACCTCAGATAAAACAGCCAAAAGTTAGCCCACCAAAATCAAGGCCAAGGCAGGAAGCAAACACCCCAACTAAGAAGGGAAGTAACTCTTCTATCAGTGAGGACAGCAAGGAAGGCACTGACTCTGCCCAAAGTTCACCCTCCATCACAGAAGGTATGGAATATATCTTTCTCCTATACTTAATAGGTGTCATCCTTTTTTTGTTTTGAAAAGAAAAAAAAAATGTAAAATCTTTCACCATTGTAGAGGAGATTTTGAACCACCAAGACGATTCTGAAGTTTAAAAACTAGACTCGTGTTAGGTGTTTAGAAATTTAGCCATCTTTCTCCATGGGTTCTGATCTCCCTGTCTCAATACCCAAAGTAGGACAAGGATATATGATGGTAGAGTGTGGATACACTTGTCTAGAGACAGAGAAAATTATGTAGGAACATGCTCAGACAATGTCATCACTTTTTATACATCATTCCGAATGGCCTAGTTTTCCAGATTTGTCATGTCAGCTTAAATAAACAGCAAGAAAGATGTGCAGTTTAAGCAATCAATCACTGTGTGATGTACAATGAAATTTCCGCCCTAAGATTTTGAAATTTAACACAAGTCAAAGCTGCATGGGAAAGTTCCTAAATTTTATTGTTGAATAAAGATCTCTCTGTCCACATCATATAGAGGGAAAATGTTGATGTGATGAGTTATCTAAGAGCAGTATTTCTGTAAGGATGGACTTGCGAAAAGAATCTTCCATAGCAACAATTATTTCCTTCAACTACAATAAAAGTTGAGGAACCTATAAGGTACCAGATTCTGGTTCTTTTTGTCCAATTTACTTCAGGCCTTAATTCTGTTTATGATGCTATTAAATAGATGAATGTTGACAAGCACATGCCTACTCTGATACAATTTGGCTTTCTTTGATTTCAGATACAAAACAACAGAGCTCACCATCACCAAAGACTGCTCCATCTACACCGTTGACCAAAGCTGGATCCTTGGAGAAGATTTCAGAAGCTAGTGAATCCACAATTAGTAGGTCAAGGTCAGAAAATACAACACAAAGGTCATTGCACAAACAATTCAGGAATGATGATTCATCAATAAGAACAGAAATATCAGAAGATATTGATGAAAATATTGAAGCTGTGGAGGACAGTGTTTCTGAACAATCCAAATCTGATTTGTTGCATATTACAAAGGAGTTGCCTCCCCTTTCAAAGTCTGCTGCTTCTGTGTCGCAAGTCGATGATGCAAGTTACACAGAGGACTTTACAGGCCATGATGGTGTGTCTGCCATCGGAAAACTACCTCAGAGTGCTCGTAGTGACATGTCCGATCACACCGAGATTAGGCAGCACACAGACAATATATCAGAGCAGATAAGTGAATTGGTGTCTGTACGATCTGAGGACTCGCACTTCGTTCAGCCTCTGGACCTTCGCAGTCATCAGGAGCAGGTTGATGATGGGTACCTGGACCAGAAATCTCCACGCTCCATTTCCACAGCTTCACGGCCATCAAGTGGGCGCTCACAGTCCAGTCAGAACCTCAATGGTTCGTTTGATGACTCAGATATTGAACCCAGTCAAACATCATCAGTACCCCAGAGTCAAGGTGACCTGTCAAGACCTGGTGAAATTATCATGGGGGTTTTTGATGGAGAAGAGATTGATGATGAAGAGGAGACTCCCATCGCTTCCCCTCGTGATGAGACCCCAAAAGTGATAGATATAATGTGTGACTTCAACAAGGGTGATCGTGTCCTTGTGACAGGGCCTAGGGGTGTTCGCAGTCCAGGCATTCTTCTGTTCAAGGGCAAGGTCACTTTTGCTCCAGGGATCTGGGCTGGAGTAGAGCTTGAAGCTGCGGATGGCAGAAATGATGGTTCTCATGAGGGTGTACGTTATTTCTCATGCAAACCAGGCCATGGTGTCCTGGTACCAGGTGACGACTTAATGCCTGCTCCCGCCGTCAGGAGCCCACGTCGAAGCTTTACAAGTTCACATGATGATGAATCTATTACAACGGATGACCAGGAGGATTCAGATCTGAGTCGAGTCATCATAGAGGCGGGAGAAAATGTGTCCAATTTTAGTGAAGAGAGATTACATGAGCAAGAGGCTCTCACAAACAAGATCACTGATGAAATTCTGGTGGATTTGGTCCGAAATGACATGAAAACTATGAACAGAATTCAGGACAGAAAGGTAACCCCACCTGCTGTGGCACAAAAACCTAGCAAACGACCAGAAGTGTCTAATGATGGTGCTAACACACTTCACATGAATGGTAATGTGGACAGTGATGTTGAAAGAGACATCAACCAGAATGATAAACACTCGCAAATTACGAAGAAATTAATCGAAAACTTAACGAGTGATGCAATAGATGAGATGATTGTAATTCGTAATAAACAACGTGATCGACAAGAGCCTTTACGTAGCGGATCTCAGGGCCAGTTTTCATTTGACAAAGATCCCCAGGTGCTTTTTCCGAATCAAGAGACTGGGTCCATAGAGAGGAGGAACTTTCCAGGAGATAAACCGGAGAATGCTCGTCCTGGCTCCCCAATACCAGGCAGCTCTCCCCGTGCCACAAAGGTAAGGATTGTAATCATTCTTTTATCACAAAGTGTTCAGATATCTTGTACAGGTTTCATTTGAATTTTTCTATCTTAAATGTTGACAAAACATTTGATTTGCAGTTTGATATAAAACATGGGGAATTTTTTTAAAAGTTTGTGTAACTGAAGTGTGATTTGCTGAAGTAATGAACTCTGTTATTGCTGGACGTGCCATAGCTGAATAATATAAACAGCAGCAAACTGAATACTCGAGAAATGTTTCCACCATGTGTTCTCTGTGATATACCAGAGTACAGCTGTGATATACCAGTACAGCTGTGATATACCAGAGTACAGCTGTGATGTACCAGAGTACAGCTGTGATGTACCAGAGTACAGCTGTGATATATCAGAGTACAGCTGTGATATACCAGAGTACAGCTGTGATATACCAGTACAGCTGTGATATACCAGTACAGCTGTGATATACCAGTACAGCTGTGATATACCAGAGTACAGCTGTGATATACCAGAGTACAGCTGTGATATACCAGAGTACAGCTGTGATATATCAGAGTACAGCTGTGATATACCAGAGTACAGCTGTGATATACCAGTACAGCTGTGATATACCAGAGTACAGCTGTGATATACCAGAGTACAGCTGTGATATACCAGAGTACAGCTGTGATATACCAGAGTACAGCTGTGATATACCAGAGTACAGCTGTGATATACCAGAGTACAGCTGTGATATACCAGAGTACAGCTGTGATATACCAGAGTACAGCTGTGATATACCAGAGTACAGCTGTGATATACCAGAGTACAGCTGTGATATACCAGAGTACAGCTGTGATATACCAGTACAGCTGTGATATACCAGAGTACAGCTGTGATATACCAGAGTACAGCTGTGATATACCAGAGTACAGCTGTGATATACCAGAGTACAGCTGTGATATATCAGAGTACAGCTGTGATATACCAGAGTACAGCTGTGATATACCAGAGTACAGCTGCGATATACAGCTGTGATATACCAGAGTACAGCTGTGATATACCAGAGTACAGCTGTGATATACCAGAGTTTAGCTGTGATATACCAGAGTACAGCTGTGATATACCAGAGTACAGCTGTGATATATCAGAGTACAGCTGTGATATACCAGAGTACAGCTGTGATATACCAGTACAGCTGTGATATACCAGAGCTGTGATATACCAGAGTACAGCTGTGATATATCAGAGTACAGCTGTGATATACCAGAGTACAGCTGTGATATACCAGTACAGCTGTGATATACCAGAGTACAGCTGTGATATACCAGAGTACAGCTGTGATATACCAGAGTTTAGCTGTGATATACCAGAGTTTAGCTGTGATATACCAGAGTACAGCTGTGATATACCAGAGTACAGCTGTGATATACCAGAGTGTGATATACCAGAGTACAGCTGTGATATACCAGAGTACAGCTGTGATATACCAGAGTACAGCTGTGATATACCAGAGTACAGCTGTGATATACCAGAGTACAGCTGTGATATACCAGAGTACAGCTGTGATGTACCAGAGTACAGCTGTGATATACCAGAGTACAGCTGTGATATACCAGAGTACAGCTGTGATATACCAGAGTACAGCTGTGATATACCAGAGTACAGCTGTGATATACCAGAGTACAGCTGTGATATACCAGAGTACAGCTGTGATATACCAGAGTACAGCTGTGATATACCAGAGTACAGCTGTGATATACCAGAGTACAGCTGTGATATACCAGAGTACAGCTGTGATATACCAGAGTTTAGCTGTGATATACCAGAGTACAGCTGTGATATACCAGTACAGCTGTGATATACCAGAGTACAGCTGTGATATACCAGAGTACAGCTGTGATATACCAGTACAGCTGTGATATACCAGAGTACAGCTGTGATATACCAGAGTACAGCTGTGATATACCAGAGTACAGCTGTGATATACCAGAGTACAGCTGTGATATACCAGAGTACAGCTGTGATATACCAGAGTACAGCTGTGATATACCAGAGTACAGCTGTGATATACCAGAGTACAGCTGTGATATACCAGAGTACAGCTGTGATATACCAGAGTACAGCTGTGATATACCAGAGTACAGCTGTGATATACCAGAGTACAGCTGTGATATACCAGTACAGCTGTGATATACCAGAGTACAGCTGTGATATATCAGAGTACAGCTGTGATATACCAGAGTTTAGCTGTGATATACCAGAGTACAGCTGTGATATATCAGAGTACAGCTGTGATATACCAGAGTACAGCTGTGATATACCAGAGTACAGCTGTGATATATCAGAGTACAGCTGTGATATACCAGAGTACAGCTGTGATATACCAGAGTACAGCTGTGATATACCAGAGTACAGCTGTGATATACCAGAGTACAGCTGTGATATACCAGAGTACAGCTGTGATATACCAGAGTACAGCTGTGATATACCAGAGTTTAGCTGTGATATACCAGAGTTTAGCTGTGATATACCAGAGTACAGCTGTGATATACCAGAGTACAGCTGTGATATACCAGAGTACAGCTGTGATATACCAGAGTACAGCTGTGATATACCAGAGTACAGCTGTGATATACCAGAGTACAGCTGTGATATACCAGAGTACAGCTGTGATATACCAGAGTACAGCTGTGATATACCAGAGTACAGCTGTGATATACCAGAGTACAGCTGTGATATACCAGAGTACAGCTGTGATATACCAGAGTACAGCTGTGATATACCAGAGTACAGCTGTGATATACCAGAGTACAGCTGTGATATACCAGAGTACAGCTGTGATATACCAGAGTACAGCTGTGATATACCAGAGTACAGCTGTGATATACCAGAGTACAGCTGTGATATACCAGAGTACAGCTGTGATATACCAGAGTACAGCTGTGATATACCAGTACAGCTGTGATATACCAGAGTTTAGCTGTGATATACCAGAGTACAGCTGTGATATACCAGAGTACAGCTGTGATATACCAGTACAGCTGTGATATACCAGAGTACAGCTGTGATATACCAGAGTACAGCTGTGATATACCAGAGTACAGCTGTGATATACCAGAGTACAGCTGTGATATACCAGAGTACAGCTGTGATATACCAGAGTACAGCTGTGATATACCAGAGTACAGCTGTGATATACCAGAGTACAGCTGTGATATACCAGTACAGCTGTGATATACCAGAGTACAGCTGTGATATACCAGTACAGCTGTGATATACCAGTACAGCTGTGATATACCAGAGTACAGCTGTGATATACCAGAGTACAGCTGTGATATACCAGAGTACAGCTGTGATATACCAGAGTACAGCTGTGATGTACCAGAGTTTAGCTGTGATATACCAGTACAGCTGTGATATACCAGAGTACAGCTGTGATATATCAGAGTTTAGCTGTGATATACCAGTACAGCTGTGATATACCAGAGTACAGCTGTGATATACCAGAGTACAGCTGTGATATACCAGAGTACAGCTGTGATATACCAGAGTACAGCTGTGATATACCAGAGTACAGCTGTGATATACCAGAGTACAGCTGTGATATACCAGAGTACAGCTGTGATATACCAGAGTAAAGCTGTGATATAACAGAGTACAGCTGTGATATACCAGAGTACAGCTGTGATATACCAGAGTACAGCTGTGATATACCAGAGTACAGCTGTGATATACCAGAGTACAGCTGTGATATACCAGAGTACAGCTGTGATATACCAGAGTACAGCTGTGATATACCAGAGTACAGCTGTGATATATCCAGAGTACAGCTGTGATATACCAGAGTACAGCTGTGATATACCAGAGTACAGCTGTGATATACCAGAGTACAGCTGTGATATACCAGAGTACAGCTGTGATATACCAGAGTACAGCTGTGATATACCAGAGTACAGCTGTGATATACCAGAGTACAGCTGTGATATACCAGAGTACAGCTGTGATATACCAGAGTACAGCTGTGATATACCAGAGTACAGCTGTGATATACCAGAGTACAGCTGTGATATATCAGAGTACAGCTGTGATATACCAGAGTACAGCTGTGATATACCAGAGTACAGCTGTGATATACCAGAGTACAGCTGTGATATACCAGAGTACTGTGATATACTGCTGTGATATACCAGAGTACAGCTGTGATATACCAGAGTACAGCTGTGATATACCAGTACAGCTGTGATATACCAGAGTACAGCTGTGATATACAGCTGTGATATACCAGAGTACAGCTGTGATATACCAGAGCTACAGCTGTGATATACCAGAGTACAGCTGTGATATACCAGAGTACAGCTGTGATATACCAGAGTAAAGATCTGATATACAAGAGTGTAGCTGGGATGAACCATTACAGCTGTGATATACCAGAGTACAGCTGTGATATACCAGAGTACAGCTGTGATATACCAGAGTACAGCTGTGATATACCAGAGTACAGCTGTGATATATCAGAGTACAGCTGTGATATACCAGTACAGCTGTGATATACCAGTACCAGTACAGCTGTGATATACCAGAGTACAGCTGTGATATACCAGAGTACAGCTGTGATATATCAGAGTACAGCTGTGATATACCAGAGCTGAGATATACAGCAGCTGTGATATACCAGAGTACAGCTGTGATATACCAGAGTACAGCTGTGATATACCAGAGTACAGCTGTGATATATCAGAGTACAGCTGTGATATACCAGTACAGCTGTGATATAACAGAGTACAGCTGTGATATACCAGAGTACAGCTGTGATATACCAGAGTACAGCTGTGATATACCAGAGTACAGCTGTGATATACCAGAGTACAGCTGTGATATATCAGAGTACAGCTGTGATATATCAGAGTACAGCTGTGATATATCAGAGTACAGCTGTGATATATCAGAGTACAGCTGTGATATATCAGAGTACAGCTGTGATATATCAGAGTACAGCTGTGATATACCAGAGTACAGCTGTGATATACCAGAGTACAGCTGTGATATACCAGAGTACAGCTGTGATATACCAGAGTACAGCTGTGATATACCAGAGTACAGCTGTGATATACCAGAGTACAGCTGTGATATACCAGAGTACAGCTGTGATATACCAGAGTACAGCTGTGATATACCAGAGTACAGCTGTGATATATCAGAGAACAGCTGAGATATACCAGAGTACAGCTGTGATATATCAGAGTACAGCTGTGATATACCAGAGTACAGCTGTGATATACCAGAGTACAGCTGTGATATACCAGAGTACAGCTGTGATATACCAGAGTACAGCTGTGATATACCAGAGTACAGCTGTGATATACCAGAGTACAGCTGTGATATACCAGAGTACAGCTGTGATATACCAGAGTACAGCTGTGATATACCAGAGTACAGCTGTGATATACCAGAGTACAGCTGTGATATACCAGAGTACAGCTGTGATATACCAGAGTACAGCTGTGATATACCAGAGTACAGCTGTGATATACCAGAGTACAGCTGTGATATACCAGAGTACAGCTGTGATATACCAGAGTACAGCTGTGATATACCAGAGTACAGCTGTGATATACCAGAGTACAGCTGTGATATACCAGAGTTTAGCTGTGATATACCAGAGTACAGCTGTGATATATCAGAGTACAGCTGTGATATATCAGAGTACAGCTGTGATATATCAGAGTACAGCTGTGATATACCAGAGTACAGCTGTGATATACCAGAGTACAGCTGTGATATACCAGAGTACAGCTGTGATATACCAGTACAGCTGTGATATACCAGAGTACAGCTGTGATATACCAGAGTACAGCTGTGATATACCAGTACAGCTGTGATATACCAGTACAGCTGTGATATACCAGTACAGCTGTGATATACCAGAGTACAGCTGTGATATACCAGTACAGCTGTGATATATCAGAGTACAGCTGTGATATATCAGAGTACAGCTGTGATGTACCAGAGTACAGCTGTGATATACCAGAGTACAGCTACAAGATCTTCCCTCTCTCTCCTACTTACAACAGATTTATCAAAAAGTTGAAGAAAAGCATAGTCCTTCTAATGAAAAAAATCCTTTGAAATTACTTTAATTTGGCTTTGAATTAAATATGCAAGCTTTGGTATGAAAATTTTCAGAAGCCAACATTATTCTTGATATTTTTAAGCTTCTACCATTTTGTAGGAGGGCCTTGTAATATTATGCAAGTCCACCCTGTCAAGTTGGTCATTAGTTCTACATCTTATCATTATCAAGGTGGTAATCTGTCAGTGATACTTACATGGGAGTGTTAGCATTCATGTCTTACACACATTTTCTTCTCTTAACAAAAAAAACTTTTTCATTGCATGACATTACTTAAACTTGGAAGTCTGTATCCTCAATGTTAAAAAAACAGAAATAAAACCTAGAATTGTTCTTCTAGCTGTTACTGTATATAATTTAAATTTTTACAGGTATACAAGATGTTTGCAGTACAATTTACATTAATCAACATTGTAAATACTGTTAGTTAATATTTTAATATGAAGATTTTTTTTAAAGCATAATATTTGACTCTTAAGAAACATGGATTGTAGCCATGGGTTGTCAGTCAGTTCTGATAAACTAGAAATGTTAGACACAGTATTTCAAATGTTGATTTTAATGCATGGAGGGTGAGCAGTATTTAGAGCTCTGTTTAGGGTTTAACATGAGATGGAAATTCTTCCAAATAGTGACAGTAGTTTAAAGCATTTTCATATATAAAAGAAAATCAATTTTCTAGTTATTATTGAAATTTTCTTCTCATTAATTCACATAAAAGAAGGAATTCTATATATAGAATGGGGAGACAATGTCCATTTTTCACACAAGCAGGAATCTTTTCATGTGATAGGGGGAGACAACTCAAGTGAAAAAAATTAAATCAATGTTTTTCTTTGTGTTTTCAATCAATTAATATAAGCATGTTTTGGATGTATTGTGTGCTGGTTATATCTATTATTTATCTAAATCTAAGCTACAGTGGCTTTCTGTATTGTATTTCCATTTGTCTATGATGAATCAGCTCATTTAACTTAATGGATCTGTTCGTTAAACTCAATTTTCTAGTTTAAAACTATTAGAATGAAAACCTTAACTGTATCAGTACAAAATTTGTCTCAGTTTTAACTGGCAAACATTTGTAATACTAACATAGATTAGTATAGGTGCAGTCACCGTAACATCTGCTACTGTTATATGGGTCAGAAGTATGGCACAGCTGGGTGATGGCATTTGAGTGTAAAATCTTGTGTCAGAATATACGTGAACAGTGTCTGTTAATATCAATTTTTCTGTTATAGATTTGTGCTATTTTTACTTTATGTACAGTAATAGCTCTTGGTTTGTTTGCATGAAGGTTATCTTAAACTTAAATGTGTTCTATATTCATGTTTTAACAATAACAGTTAGTCAATCTTTAAGTATGGAATATTAGATTCACCAGCATGATGGTAGAAATTAAAGGATTGGTTTTATATTTATGTAATAGGAAGGAAACAAGGAGTTGGATGAAGACTTGAATTACTTGCTATATGGTGACAAGGAAGATGAATACTTTGAAGATGAAGCCATACCCTCTCCTACAATGAACCAGCTCCCTCCTCCGTACCCAGGTATACAGTCAGGTCAGTACTGTGTCTGTCTTACAGAAATCATACCCTCTCCTACAATGAACCAGCTCCCTCCTCCGTACCCAGGTATACAGTCAGGTCAGTACTGTGTCTGTCTTACAGAAATCATACCCTCTCCTGTGATGAACCAATCCCCTCCTCCGTACCCAGGTATACAGTCAGGTCAGCACTGTGTCTGTCTTACAGAAATCATACCCTCTCCTGTGATGAACTAATTCCCTCCTCCTTACCCAGGTATACAGTCAGGTCAGTACTGTGTCTGTCTTACAGAAATCATACCTTGGCCTGTGATGAACCAATCCCCTCCTCCTTACCCAGGTATACAGTCAGGTCAGTACCGTGTCTGTCTTACAGAAATCATACCCTCTCCTGTGATGAACCAATCCCCTCCTCCTTACCCAGGTATACAGTCAGGTCAGTACTGTGTCTGTCTTACAGAAATCATACCTTGGCCTGTGATGAACCAATCCCCTCCTCCTTACCCAGGTATACAGTCAGGTCAGTACTGTGTCTGTCTTACAGAAATCATACCCTCTCCTGTGATGAACCAATCCCCTCCTCCTTACCCAGGTATACAGTCAGGTCAGTACTGTGTCTGTCTTACAGAAATCATACCTTGGCCTGTGATGAACCAATCCCCTCCTCCTTACCCAGGTATACAGTCAGGTCAGTACTGTGTCTGTCTTACAGAAATCATACCTTGGCCTGTGATGAACCAATCCTCTCCTCCTTACCCAGGTATACAGTCAGGTCAGTACCATGTCTGTCTTACAGAAATCGTACCTTGCCTGTGATGAACTAATCCTCTCCTCCTTACCCAGGTATACAGTCAGGTCAGTACTGTGTCTGTCGTATAGAAATCATAACCTCTCCTGTGATGAACCAACCCCCACTTCCATACTAAGCATTGAATTAAAGGTCAATAGATTAATTCAAATTACTTAAGGTCATAATTAATTGGTAATTTTCCTAGCATGAAGCAGAACCTGCATTGAACCACAATAAGACATTATTGTCTTTTAATTGTGTTTCAGAGTTGATACCAGACACTGGAAATCCCAACTTCCACCAGGTACAAGAAGATGTGTTTTTCTCTGTACCACATGAGCGCCATGAGATAGAAGAGGTGGTGTCAAGTGCTGTGGATGTGTTCTGGAACCAACGTCGCTACGGCGAATCTCTAGAGGGACTTGAGCCTCCAGAAACCTACTATTCTACAGAGGACAACAACAATGATGTGGACAGTAAGAGCCGACGCGTTTTCGAGAAGTTACTTTTCGATTCAACAGGAGATATTATACGTGATATTTACAGGGAGGAAGACAATGACGGTACGTGTGCCTGGAAACAAACAAAACGGACACGACAAAAATACTTCAGAGGTGCTAATCCCCCAACGACAATAGACGTATTAAAACCAATTGTTCAGAAGGCTGTGATTGAAATTCTAGGATTAAATGGTTCCAGGAAAGTTGACAAAAATAGATGGAGTGTTCGGAAAAAGAAGGACCATGTAGACAATATCTTAGTTGAGGAATTAAGAGAGGAGGAACCTGATTGGGTGAATTACGATGACGACGAGACTGCTGTTAAGATGCAGCTCACTGAGGCCATTTTCGAAACATTGTTGACAGATACTGTACAGACGATGAATAAAATATATCGTAAAAAACAAATGTTGAGTCAGCAACACCAATGACTATGAAATGGACCTGGCCCCACTGGTGTACACTTCATGCCAAACAGCATGCCAAACGGGGCACAAAGACATAGTAGTGCAAGCCAAACGTTGAACTGATTGGCAATTATTGCTGTTCATGCTAAGTTGCTGAGAAATTGGCATGCTGTATCTCAATATATTATGCCAAATATTAGACCTTGTGCTAGAAAATAGAGAAAATGTTTTTAATACGTAGAAACATGTTCAAAGATTAAATAAGTGAAGTATAATGTGACACTCACTCCTGTGACAGTTTTATAACTGATTTGTAAGAATTTGCTGCCCTCAGCTGTGGTTATATACCACAACGTATACCAACAGATGTATTCAAATCATCCCCAACCATAGCGGACATCATCCCAATTCGTACATATCATGCTCACCCATATAACTTCTAGCCAAGTGTACTTGTGAGTAAGATGTAGAACCATATATGGAGTGTGTTTTGAAACCAAGTCTTAACCACCAGGTCAGTGGATACTGTCACACGAAAACTTCTCTATGAAAACAAATTAACAAAAGTTAAAAAGGAGAAAGAAAAAAAAGATAAAATCTTAGTTTTGTTTTCATTTAAAGACGATAAAGTATCTATTTTATTTAATCAATTATCAAGATTAAATTTTCTTATTACATTGAAATTTTAAGCGGATGTCAAAGAAGAAATAAACACACTCTGAAAATATGGCTTTATCACATAGTTGGATGACTGGGAGAAGCATGGGGAGCTGTGTGTTTATATGCTGTATATAGTCTTATTTATTCCATTTGAGGAAAATAGTTGGATGGATGTGTATTTAATGTCTAAAAGTAGTTGAGAGTCTGTTGGTACCTGTAATCATGTAAACATCTGCCATCATCATGATTCCTCTCCGGATTGTGCTGGAAACTGTAGTAAAAATCATGAGTGTGTAAATTGAAGTGAGGTAAAAACTAGTTAGTATGATGAGTGCTTGTTACTGTGAATGCTACTAAGTATATACTGTATGATATAGCGGGGATCAGGTGTTTAGTTACTCACATCCAGTTCCTGCTAGACCTGACCCCCAGTGTTGTAAGGCAGGGCTGGATCTAGGATTTTGGGAAAAGGAGATTCATTTTGGCTGGGTAGTTCTTAAAAAAACTCTGAATGTTACACCTCACATTGAAAATACTGTATCTCTATAAGGTACACTTTGCTTTAAGTTTTGAAGAGAGAAAGAACTCCAGAATCTCTCCTGGATCCATCATTGTATGGAATCGTTATTGTTCATCACATTTCTGAGTGCTGTTTGTTGATTGGTGAATGCTGTTTCTTTGTTTTGAAAAAATCTGTGCTTGTAAACTAATTTAATGAGGTAGCTATTTAAAATGTATATAATATTGTAACATACACATATCAGTAATATTGATTTAATTTCAAGAATGTTTACAGCCCAGTCTTAGTTCATAATACAGATAAATATATCTGTGAAATAGTTTAAGAATTTGTTTTTTTTCCTACTTTTTTCTTCAGAACAAGATAAATTAAGTTGAAGATCTGATAGTATTGATTGAGTCTCATTATTAAAGTTAATTTATTTACGTACATTTCATTTTTCACTACTGATCTGATATACCTATCTACGACTGTCTTAACATAAATGGATGTGTGGTTTTGTTTCTTTGTTAAAATGTTATTATCCTCTCTTGATTTTGCTACTGAGAATAGGAATCAGTGTGAAGTTTCAAATATCATTTTACAATAATTTAGCAAATATAATCATAAAATTTTACTTTTATGTCATATCACATAAAAACTGACACTGCCAAATATAGTAATTGAAATAGTTTGAAACATTTCCAGTCATAATTCTGACATGCTGGACAGACAAGCTTTGGTTTCAAACAAATCCACTGTTGAAAAGCATAAGCAATTTTTTTTTTCTTAGATGGATTCTCTGTTTGCCATTGTTTCCAGTATTTCAACACTGAATGCAGGCCAGCCTCACAGTCCCAGTGTGGAGATCACAACTCCAGTCAACTCTAACACTCTCACTTTTTATTGGGTTTGAGAGAATCTGTTTTCTAAGTATGCTATCTTATAAGAAATCTACTATTTGTAGTGCAATTTATTTGATTTCCTTTCACTCATTGTATTATTTTGGACTAATGATGGACTGAGAAGTGTAGAGTGTTTTAGTATTTCTTGGGCTTTTCGGTTAAGTGTGTGGGTGAGTGGAGCGAGATGTGATAGAGTTATCTCCCCTGGTATTTCCATGGTTGTTAAAAAAATTGGTAAATAGCTATGTGCCATTAAATACTCCTGACCGCCCTATAGATATAGCACTATGGATTGATCATTATAACAGTTAGTGGGTACTGCCAGGATGGATCAGTCCATTATGAGTTTCTGGGTACTGGTGGGGTGTACAAGAGAACTCGCATTGTAAGATGTTTTCTGTGGTTTGGTATGGATCTCGGATTATTTATGTACTCCAGTTATTGAGCATTTAGTGTCTTATACTGCAGCATTTGTATCCTGTTTGCCAGGCATGCATTTCCACATATTTTACATACCTGCATTGAAAGTGCCTTAATAGACCCTCCAATGTTTAGTCACCCACAGGTAACAGAAATCTGACCATTTTGTTTGCTCTATCTGTGTAAGCATTGCATACCAAAATTTTGTTAGTGATTTGGAAACATCAGGAATGTTTTGGTTTTTTGTTGTTTTTTTTTTTTAATTTAATTTGACTGTAAGCTGAGAAAATGTTCACTTTCACCTTAAATATCACAATTAGCATTCTAGCTTGTTTTATACTATTGCCACCATGTACAATTTATATGATATCTCAGGTTAGCTATGTCCCCCACTTAGGTAAGGCAGGGGGGGATGTCTGTGTTTGTATCTGTTACAACTTTGTGTACAAGATATATTATGGACCTCTGAACCAATTCAGAGTTATTACAAATAATCACAATGTAATGACAGTCACCGCTCACTTCCTAATCCAAGGGCAGTGTACTTACTTTGACTTCATGATCCTGGGGTGGGGGTGTTTCTGATCCTGGGGTGGGGATGTGGGTGTGTCCATGTAAGCCCCTACTTACATTGACTCCCTGATCCTGGGGTTTTGGGTATAACTGAGTGAGACCCTGCTTGCTTTTGACTCCCTGATCCTGGGGTTTTGGGTATATCTATATAAGCCCCTGCTCATTTTATTTTTATATTTTAACATCCACATCCATTTTATATATCGAAACAAACTTCATTTGACATAATTCTACCTTCACTGATCTTCATCCTTACTTAGCCCAATAGACTAGACCTTGTATATGAATTCACCTGACACACAGGTGTGTGAAGCCTTGATACTTTTCTTTCTAGCGTTTAGACACAAATCTTACAGAAAATTAGTGATGTTGTCTTCAGTAGTTAATACTCGAGGCAGTCATATATGCTAGATTTAATTTGTGTATCCATAATTAGGGCCTGATTATGAACATTATTTTAACTCCTAGAATATCCAGGGTCAAGTTACGCACCAATGTAGAATTATCTCCCCTTAACACATTGTGATATGGTTATTCTCTGGTAATAGAATGATTCAATCTATTTTTTCAACTTTGTACATTTGTAAACATGAGTCGATTTAATTTTTTTTTTCAAAACTATGCAAATGTATAACAGTATGACAAAGGTTTGTGATTCTCTTAAGAGAACACAACAAAATAAAACTTAACAAATGAAATAAGATGTCTTGTTTTTATTGGACTGGACTCGAACCCGTAGCTCTGAAATATCTTGCAAGATCAAAGAAGGATAAAAGGCCTTATGATCAATTTTATTGTATAGTTTTCACATCTTTGTATTTGTAGGTGAAGTTCTGCGTTATTTTTAAACTTGCATTTGACTTTATTAAATCCAAAAATTGAATTTTAGCAGGTCATGATCTGAAATGTTCAATATAAGGTTGACCTGACAAAATCAGTTGAGCTGGCAACACTGGTTAAATGTATATAGCAAGTTAACAATTCATAACACTGCATTTTCTTGGCAGAATGACAAATGATTATGATGCAACGTGGTTGACAGTGAGCTCACTTATTATGTGTGAAATTTTGATCTAGGTAAACATTTCATTAAAATGGTGTCTGCATATCTTAATCACTCTTACTTGATAAAATTGTGCAGGACAAAACCTACTTACATGGTTAGGTAAATGACTTCATGCCACTTGAATTGGATTGATTCTGTCACCTTATTCAATATTGATAAAGTCATGTCATTTTATATTGCTTACTGTAAAACTGTTTAACAAGTCAATATTTGTCTAAACCTGAGAATTTTCACAAGGCAATGACCATGAAGGAAATTCATGTCTGTAAATAGAGTATTAAAACTACTGATGTATTGCAAAGTTTTGTACAATTGTGTTACACATGTCCCTGCAATAAAAATATATAGTTTTAATATAATCATTTAATCTCATATTCCAATATCCAAAAACGAATAAATTTCATTTAAATTTGATTTTTAACTACAGACTTTAAATCACATTTGGAGGAAAAAATATACAAAACAAACGAAAAATTGAAAAAAAAATCTTATTTGCAGGGTTAAGCTTAGATGCAAGCAATGAAATATCAAACCCTGTATGTTCTATCTAATAGAAAACGTAGGTCACTTAAAGTTACATACTGATACTGGTATCCAGGAATATTAACCTATCAAAATGTGAGCTGAACAAATTGACAAGGAAAGTAATTTGATGCCAGAAAAAATCTCCTGATTATTACTAAAGTGATAACTGCTATTTTTATCTCGCCTTCTAGGTCTGGATTAAGCAGAAGACAATCAAGTTTTCTAAATCTGGAATGTTTGTATTGACATTTTAAATGTATTTATTTGAGGACAATCAATAAACATGTAAAAGCTACCCAGATATAAAACACAAAATCGATAGGTTAATTTTAAGACATCTGAAGGCATTTTATAATCATCCTCCTTAGACTGATGTCTTAATATCGATCAATAGTTAATTAAAGGACAATCAATACTACCCAGATATATATAATAATTCAATACTACCCAGATATATATAATAATTCAATATTACCCAGATATATGCAATCTATACTATAAAATTTTACAGGTAGATGTTTTTGTTATGGTTTGTCCTCATCCTCCACATCACATGTGAATGCTCTCAAGATTTTGGCAATTGTTGGTATAAGATGGCTATTGTGAAATTCCAAGACTTCTATAGTTTGACAAAAATTGACCTGCCATATTTGATGTGTAATATTGAAGGAATTTCTTTTTATCGGTTTCAAGTGCAATGCACATGCCCCCAAGACATCAGAACAGGTTTCACCTGAAAACCTCCTTTGAGTGATCAGTTGATGTCATGTCCCTTAATATAAATGCCCCCTCACACTTTATCACTACACTGTTGAGGGGCAACAAAGCACATCGTGCACTCTTTACAACTACAATTTTCCTGCACAGATTTATCTTAAACCATTTTTTAAAGTAAACTGATTAAGCAACATTCTCTTTGTGTAGGCTGATGTCACCCTGCAAGAAACATGTCCAGTAGGGTAATCCTAAGCTAGTTACCATATCTTCTTACCCAACAAAATAGGTGTCAAGTGGTTGCCCAATGCCAGTCATAATGTAAATCATTTCAGCCATGTTACAAGTATATCTAGTAGTCAAAGTTGAACATTTTCCAGTGTTCCCTGAAAATACAAAGCCACCTTCATGATAGAGTAGCATTGTAACTCTTCAACAAATATCAAGTCATTGCCAACTACAGCAAATGAGAAAAAACACTTGTATTAAAGTTTTAGCATTTTTTATTTCCTTTTAAGCTTTTTTCTTTACCTGTAAAGAAGAGATTCTAAGGAAAGTAACGATAAAAACGAATATTTACAACTGTCTGCTCCAATGTGGTGCAAATCCATAATGGTGACTAAACATGCTCTCTTATCTCGAGTACTGCAGTGAGGTTAATGATACAGTGAATATACATATCTCTATTGGTGATCACTACCTGGGACAACACCGTATACAAATATAATTTGACAAGTTGATATAGTGGTCCATTAATGTTATGATAATGAAACTTACGAAGACATACAACTCTTTCTCCCGATGTTGAAGATCACCTAGACAGAATTCCCCTGATCTTATTAAAACTCGTGTAGATCGAGATACAGAACACAAAATAATTTATCAGCAGCTTTTTGTTTCACAACCCCTTCCAAACTCAATTCTTTCCATCATTGAACTTCCATTCAACATCCTCTTCCTCTCGTACCAATACACACATAGTTTTCTAGTGACGTAAATCATACATACATGATCATGTTCTCGTGGAATTCAATAAATCTGCTGCCCTTCCAAGCAGACAGACCAAGTATTTAAGTAGAAAATAATGCATTATTATATCTGTCATTTTTTGATTTTAAAATCTTACACAATATTAACTTTTTTATTTCAATGTCTTAGCTACATTATACAGGCAATATCATAATATTTATCTCTGTCTGTGAAAGAAACTGTGTAGCGAAATGTTAGCTATCTTTATAAAACTATATATAGAATGTTGCTGCGTATTAAAAATTCTGACCCCGTTTACATCATGCCGAGTCAAGAACGAGTAAAATTTGCACTTTATATCAAAACCTTGACAAGATATGGTGACAGATCAAGGTTATATCTTACTAAATGTCAAATTTCTGTTAGATACTCTTCATTTATTATTGACTTGTTGAAAAAACAAAGTCCTTCTGTAAAAATCTCTTTTATAAAGTTTTGCATGATTTTATATCAATCTCCGACGTTCATTCAATTGCTAGTTAATGTCTACTCTTTTAACACAGTCGTCCTGACAATGACTTCTGTGACTGCATATGGATCGCAATTTGAGGATGGACGTCTGTCCTCAAGATAACCACATCCGTCTTCAGCTACCTGTCTTGGTATACGAATACTGGCACCACGGTTAGCAACACCAGCTGAGAAGTCGTGGATGCTGGAAGTCTCATGGTGACCTGTCAATCGCCTTTCATTGTCTTTGCCCTCCTTGGGATCGTATGCCTTTATATGGCGGACATGGTGCTTGGACAAAAGTTCAATACCCTCCTCAATAGCCCTGGAAAACAAATCCAAGATTGCACAATCTAATGTAGAAATTCAAAATTGGTATAAATTATCACAGCAAGACATTAATAATATTCTATTCCTCGCCAATTACTCATTACTGTAGAACCACTACAGCAGACATCAGTCTGTCTACTTTGTACATCTGATCAGACGACAATACAATAATCTGGTATTAGGACGCCATGGTAACTTACTTGATGCCTCCTTTCTCCCTCATGGCTAGTGTGCTGTAGTTGCAGTGAGCACCTGCGCCATTCCAATCGCCCTCAATAGGTTTGGGATCAAGCGTTACAACGACACCAAAATCTTCAGCCACGCGGTATAAAAGGTATCGTCCAATCCACAAGTGGTCTCCCATGTCAATACCTTCACACGGGCCGACTTGAAATTCCCACTGGAAAACGAAATCACACATGATAAGTATATATATATCAATTAATTCACTACCTAGTCAAATTAAAACTTAATTCACTACCTTGTCAGAATTTAAACTTAATTAAAGTCAAAATTTACCTGAGCAGGCATGACCTCAGCATTACAGCCAGCAATTTTGACCCCAGCATATAGACAAGCACGGTAGTGGGCTTCAATGATGTCACGTCCATATACCTTGTTGGCTCCAACTCCACAGTAGTAAGGTCCTGATATCAACAAAACATTTCAATCATTCTCGATAGAGATAGTCAATATTATTAACACTCTCCAAAACAGGCTACAGTTTACTAAGCCTAAAATTGAGATATTTGAATATTATTACCAGGTACATTTTTTTCCTCATTCAATCAAAAATCAAAAATCAAAAAGATAATTTTCAAGATTTCTTTATTGAAAACCAAAGGAAAGAAGAGCCATTTTATATACAGCATACTTATATATTAATTTAGGTCCTTACCCTGGGGTCCTGGGAATCCATTCTTTGGCCAGCCAAAGGGATGACCATCAAGATCAAGCAGTGTGTACTCCTGCTCAATTCCAAACCAGGGGAAAGACGTTTTAGCTTTCTCCATGACAGCATTACAGGCTGCACGTCTGTTGGTTTCTGCTGGTTTCTTGTTGTACTTGTACACCTCGCATAAGACTAGCTTGTGTTTACCCCCTCTAAAGGGATCTCTGAATATACTGACAGGGTGAAGGTACATGTCGGAGTTGGAGCCCTCTGCCTGGTAGGTACTTGATCCATCATAATTCCAAATAGGGCAATCTGAAAAAAGGATGTTATAAATACTGAATTATGCCAATTTGAAACTTTTGCAAAATCTAGTTTCTAGTAGTGCATCTTGTATCTAGAAGTGTGCTGCTTATATAGACATGTTAACAGCAGGAGTCACCAACATACAAATACTAAAGATATGTGCTAAATAAAGGTATTCCATAGCAGGTATACAATTAACAGGTGGAACAACAACAGGTGGAACAACAACAGGTGGAACAACAACAAGTACACCAACAACAGGTGTACCAACAATAGGTACACCAACAACAGGTATACCAACAACAGGTGGCACAACAGGAAGTTATCAACAATTTGCAGGCAGATGACTTCACTGCAACCATTAAATTTGAATTATGTTGCTGTTTGCTGGATTTATCACATTTATCACAGCTACACTCATTTTGAGTCGGGTGGCTGTTTCATTGAACAACATACAGGAGGTCCATTTCGTGGTATCAAGAACACTTATGGTAAAAGTATCTTACCAAGGACACAACTGGTTATTCCCTAAAAATGACACATTTAATGTGGTGTATATATGTGGACTAGTTTTTGTGCATGTTCCTAAACAGTGTGTATATATCACAAGATCACTAGCTACCTGTCAAGATATTCAGGTTTCTCCTCGCAGTACCATATCATTATGCCCTACCTAGGTCCTTTTCAGCAAGCCTTGGGTCCCCTTAAGTTTAGTGTATACATACACTATTGTGTAGTTCAAAGGTTACAGATACACATCAACACCACTGGTCAACACCATTATTCTGTCCAGGATTATAGCTGTAGGCTTGTTGATGTCAAGTTATTATCTTTAGAATGACCGAGCTGACCACTGACCCAAAAACTTGACCCTAACCTCACTATTGACAAGAAGAATTGCCAACTCAACCCTTTCGTCCCCACAACTAAACTCGATTTTGTAACAACTCTGAATAACAGTTCGGTCTGGAGAAGAAAATTGCCTGGTTTCTTCACGATGTCTTCCTGTGTACCTAACAGTCCCCCATCTCTTGTTGATGATCTATTAAACTAGGCTTACATTTCATCCACACAAAATCACCCTACCAGGACCTCTTCCACCCAATATCCGACAGTCAAAACAGTTTACAGAATTAGCTCCACCAGACCAGTTGCCATCTTCTTTCAACAGGTCAAGGTGTTCTATGGTCTTCAAACACAGTCTGTTACAAAGCCTATTAAATTCATTAGGCTATCAAATGACCAGTGCTGACCATGACCTCCATTGTGGGCATTCAGACCAAAATTATCCAGAAACATCTAAATTTCTAACAATTATGACAAGAGTTTCTCTCAAAGTTACCTTGAAAAGTATATAAGTGATGATTCCATCGTTTAACATCTTGAAACTATGATAGACAAGGGTGGGCTTATAACCAGCTACAGGAGAATTCCCTCGTATACAAATGACTACCCAAGACGTTAATATCTTTACCTGATGGTTCCTTTGGTTCTTTCTCTAAAGTTCTACACTTGCTGCGGATTCCCTCACCAGTACCATCTATCCATATATACTCCGCCATCACTCTTTCCGTGCCAAGGTCAAGGTCAAGGTACTTCTGGAGTACCACCTTATCTGTAGCCGCATTGTTCATCACCGCCATTGCGATCACAGTTCAGGTTCTGAAATAAAACACAGGAGTAGGAAAATATCCAAAACTGATTGACAGGCAATATATCCTGGTGACCTTTCTCCTAACAACATATGAATTTGACCTCGTGCATGCTATCACTTGACACAACATATTACATTAACCTTTAGATTATCAGATAACAAAACATTATATTGATCTACTGTAGACTAACAACATATAATATTGACCTCCTACACGCTATTACCTAACATAATATATTGACCTATAGACCATCGCCTAACATATCATATCCCTCTCCTGCAGACTTTCACCTTACAAAATTATAATAACACCCTACAGGCTATCATCCACAACACATATAGGTAACAGTTTAATAGTTCTGCCTTTAAGGGACAGATACTGCTTCGAGTAACAAATAAGTAACTCAATCAGAAAATAATTTGACATGAAAACTCAAAGTTCTATAAAACATTTGCACAAAAAAAGGTGCTGTGACGAACCGGTTCCATGATGAAAAACAAAGCAATTATACACAATTGATAATGTAAAAAGTGTTTTTTACAATATCTACTTATTTACAATTCATGATTTTTCTAAATTGCTATGTAGTGTTTCCAGGTTCTGTTGACCTAAGCAAACTACTACCCTGCAACAATTTTGTGTCATTGTATCTGCACTGATTTTTTTTCTTTTAATTCATTAAAATTAGCATCAGCAACATTTCCTGATTACACAACTACACGGTATTTGTATATAGGAGTTGCCTCCCCTACATTGCCCTTCCGATGTCTGTCGTGAACATCATCACTGGTCAAGGAAGCATGCATCTTAACAATATTCCGATGTGTTTTATTTTGTCCTCATGCGCTGGCTAGTCGATCAATTATCTAACATTTTCTTCAGTAAATTGTCCTCTTAGGTTCCTTGTGTCCGTGCTCGAAGATATGTCTAATACAATTTCACGCCGTTAACAATAATTAACACGCACTGCTAGCTATCTAAGTCCGTATTATTAGTATAATGCATTCAAGAGAGAGCGTCCTAACATGTTATATATTGTCTAAATAAATCCTGTTTATATATAAAGATTTCCCCCAGCACTCTCCATGAGCGTAACAATCGACCCTACCTTCAACGTCTTCGCAAAATAATCAGCTGATTGCGAAAAAAATCGATATATGTAAATTAGCACATACAGGAAGAAACCTGTTCACAGACACGGCACAGTTTACAAAGCAAGTATATTGCAAAACACTTATCGAAATGTATGCAAGGTATTAAGTAAATGTGCTTACCTTAATACAGAGGTTGTTCCCGTTTGACAGTCGAGAGATTCTCCTGTAGTACGGCGAGCTTCACGCTGTAATAATGACAAGGTCTCTTCTGACAGAACTCTCTCATTGGTCAGTCGTACACATGAGGGTTTTCATTGGTCGACCTACATTTTGTTCCAGCCGTGTCACGTGCATGGGATTCTGATGAGAAGAGTGTTCGAAAATACACATAGATAAAAGCAACATACAAGATTACTTATATAAAGACTTCGATTTGTATTATTCTCGACATAGAGACTTTTTTCCTTCTATAACCCGGTCGTGACGTGGTAGATGTGTATGAGCTAATCTTTTTATGCTGGCCTACTTTCGTTTCACAATGCGGCACGTTGTTTTCACGTGACAAGAACGTTTTTCCAATATAAACAAAAATTCCCCATGACCCTGACATCCACGATAATCACGAGCCCGTATTTATGCCTTGTGTGTCAGGACGAGTTGGAAATGTTCAGTTTTTAATACAACTGCAAGGGATATATACATTGTATGCCTCCAATCCTTTATAATATTCCATGTACATGATCATTCTGTATTTGTATGCAGATCGATATATATATAATTATCTAGAAGAAAAGATAGATATATGTGTACATATATATTTGTATTTACAAATGTATACTCCCGGGAACGTAGTGGTATAGAATGGTGATTAAAGTCTATGGTTTTAATTCCACAAACGACAATTATGATATAATGGCTGGAGTCTGACAAGCGTCCGAGGATGTACTGCACGGTATTGGCGTCAGCTTCTAAAGTTATTTTTATAGGATTGTTGAAAACGTGTATAGGTAAGTATGGAAGAGGGGGATACATTCTATCTCCAGCTAGTGTAACATCTGTCCTCTTAGCAAACTGGAATATTTTTAGATCTATACAAACAATATTCTACCAGAGACGTATATATAGTGTGTTATATATGTCTCTGATTCTACACGAGACGTTTATCAATAACGATATTGAATATCGGCTTTAAATAACCAAAAACATATATAAATCACACGTTAAATATCCTATATTACCTCAGCAGCTATATATGCACTAGACGTTAATTATCCTGTATTACCTAAACAGCTATAAATAGAGTAGACATTCAATATACTGTATTACCTAAAAAGCTATATATACACTAGACGTTCAACATCCTGTATTACCTAAACACCTATATATATATATACTAGTTCTTTCAAGTTCTTTATTTCACCAAAAGTCTTACGACTTATAGGTACAAGCTATTCTTATGCAGGTATATATGTTATAGGAGAGTGTCTAAAGCATACGAGTGCAAACTATAAACACTGGACATATTACGAATACACAAAATTATAAATAACGTACTGATCAATTACGCTTCTTAGTGGCTAGATATAAATAGTTTCCTAAATTTGACAACTCTTTAACGTTATTCACAGATAAAAGTTGGACAAGTTTGTAAACAGATGTACTCTTATGATAATACTTCTTTATATATTTTGACCTCAAATCATTATAAAAAGGACATACAAAAATGAAATGAAATTCGTCCTCGACGTCTCCCAAGTTACATTTGCTACAGTTCCTATTTCTTCGAATGATGTTATTGTGTGTACCTATTTCGATATCTAATTTATGAGACGATATTCTAAACTTAGTTAGCATACATTTGTATTTAGACTCAATAGAGTTAAGGAGATAAAACTGAATACAGTGACTATCTATAAGATATTAATATATTCTACCTTTCGAAGAAACCGCTCAGTCACTGTTCAATAATCCTAAAAGCGTTTAAAACTGGTAGATTCGCTTCAAAAATATAACCTAGGGATATTAATTCATTATTAATATTACATATCCACGAATCATTCTCGTTAACACACTCATCATAACAAGCTTTTACTATCAAATTATCCGATTTCTTCAACTTCAACCAATATTTGAATACTCTTAGCTTTCTTGTAACAACTAACTCATTGGACGTAGATTTGCAGACTTTAAGGACTTTTTTGCAGAACTTTAGATGGACTCCCTCTACGTTGGGGGCTTTATGGAATCCCCATATTTCTGCGCCATAACTTAAAACACTGTTTACATAAATATCGAAAACAGAGCACTGTGTTTCTACACTCAAACAATAATTCCTTAAAGACGATGATAATGAAAATAAGGCCTTTCTTCCTTGATCTGCTAAATGCTTTTGAGTTTTATACAATTTTCCATTGTAATTGAAATACATTCCCAAATATTTGAAATAGTCAACAATTTCTATGTTCTCATTATCATATTTCCACACTTCATCATTTCTTATATTTCGGCCATTTTCTAAACACCATGATTTTTGTTTTATCGTCATTGACTTCCAGAACTTGAATATATACTAGACGTTCATTATACTGTTTACCTAAACGGCTATAAATAGAGTAGACATTCGATATACTGTATTACCTAAACACCTATATATAGAGTAGACATTCAATATACTGTATTACCTAAACACCTATATACATATACTAGACATTCATTATACTGTTTACCTAAACATCTATATATATACTATGGACTTTCTGCATTAATCAGTTACTATATGGATACATATATTGCTGAACAATCAAACGTGATGTTTTGTTGTTAGATTAAAAAGAAAATTTTACGGAATTATCTTCCAAAACGCATATACAAGTCTCGTTATAGTGACTGATACACAGGTAAGTTTTATACACAAGTCTCGTTATAGTGACTGATACACAGGTCGCTTCTATTCACAAGTCACGTTAAAGTGACTGATACACAGGTCGGTTCTATACACAAGTCACGTTATAGTGACTGATACACAGGTAGGTTTTATACACAATTCTCGTTTTAGTGACTGATACACAGGTCGGTTCTATTCACAAGTCACGTTATAGTGACCGATACACAGGTCAGTTCTATACACAAGTCTCGTTATAGTGACTGATACACAGGTAGGTTTTATACACAAGTCTCGTTATAGTGACTGGTACACAGGTCGGTTCTATACACAATTCTCGTTTTAGTGACTGATACACAGGTCGGTTCTATACATAAGTCACGTTATAGTGACTGATACACGTTATAGCGACTGATACTCAGGTCGGTTCTATACACAAGTCTCGTTATAGTGACTGATTCACATGTAGGTTCTATACGCAAGTCTCGTTATAGCGACCGATACACAGGTCGGTTCTATACACAAGTCTCGTTATAGCGACTGATACACATGTCGGTTCTATACGCAAGTCTCGTTATAGTGACTGATACACAGGTCGGTTCTATACACAAGTCACGTTATAGTGACTGATACACAGGTAGGTTTTATACACAATTCTCGTTTTAGTGACTGATACACAGGTCGGTTCTATTCACAAGTCACGTTATAGTGACCGATACACAGGTCAGTTCTATACACAAGTCTCGTTATAGTGACTGATACACAGGTAGGTTTTATACACAAGTCTCGTTATAGTGACTGGTACACAGGTCGGTTCTATACACAATTCTCGTTTTAGTGACTGATACACAGGTCGGTTCTATACATAAGTCACGTTATAGTGACTGATACACGTTATAGCGACTGATACTCAGGTCGGTTCTATACACAAGTCTCGTTATAGTGACTGATTCACATGTAGGTTCTATTGACATGTCTCGTTATAGTGACTGATACACAGGTCGGTTCTATACACAAGTCTCGTTATAGCGACTGATACACATGTCGGTTCTATACGCAAGTCTCGTTATAGTGACTGATACACAGGTCGGTTCTATACACAAGTCTTGTTATAGCGACTGATACACAGGTCGGTTCTATACGCAAGTCTCGTTAAAGTGACCGATACACAGGTCGGTTCTATACACAAGTCTCGTTATACTGACCGATACACATGTCGGTTCTATACGCAAGTCTCGTTAAAGTGACCGATACACAGGTCGGTTCTATACACAAGTCTCGTTATAGTGACTGATACACAGGTAGGTTTTATACACGTCTCGTTTTAGTGACTGGTACACAGGTCAGTTCTATACACAAGTCTCGTTATACTGACTGATACACAGGTAGGTTTTATACACAAGTCACATTATAGTGACTGATACACAGGTCGGTTCTATTCACAAGTCTCGTTATACTGACTGATACACAGGTCGGTTCTGTACACAAGTCACGTTATACTGACTGATACACAGGTCGGTTCTATTCACAAGTCACGTTATAGTGACCGATACACAGGTCGGTTCTATACACAAGTCTCGTTATAGTGACTGATACACAGGTAGGTTTTATACACGTCTCGTTATAGTGACTGGTACACAGGTCAGTTCTATACACAAGTCTCGTTTTAGTGACTGATACACAGGTCGGTTCTATACACAAGTCTCGTTATAGTGACCGATACACAGGTCGGTTCTATACACAAGTCTCGTTATAGTGACTGATACACAGGTCGGTTCTATACACAAGTCTCGTTATAGTCTCGTTATAGTGACTGATACACAGGTCAGTTCTATACACAAGTCTCGTTATAGTGACTGATACACAGGTCAGTTCTATACACAAGTCTCGTTTTAGTGACTGATACACAGGTCGGTTCTGTACACAAATCTCGTTATACTGACTGATACACAGGTCGGTTCTATTCACAAGTCTCGTTATAGTGACCGATACACAGGTCGGTTCTGTACACAAGTCTCGTTATACTGACTGATACACAGGTCGGTTCTATTCACAAGTCACGTTATAGTGACCGATACACAGGTCGGTTCTATACACAAGTCTCGTTATAGTGACTGATACACAGGTAGGTTTTATACACGTCTCGTTATAGTGACTGGTACACAGGTCAGTTCTATACACAAGTCTCGTTTTAGTGACTGATACACAGGTCGGATACACAGGTCGGTTCTATACACAAGTCTCGTTATAGTGACTGATACACAGGTCGGTTCTATACACAAGTCTCGTTATAGTGACTGGTACACAGGTCAGTTCTATACACAAGTCTCGTTATAGTGACTGATACACAGGTCAGTTCTATACACAAGTCTCGTTATAGTGACTGATACACAGGTCAG